TTAGTCCTGGTTTAGACCTGGTTTTAGTCCTGGTTTAGTCTTGGTTTACCTGGTTTAGTCCTCGTTTAGACCTGGTTTTAGTCCTGGTTTAGTCCTTGTTTTAGTCCTGGTTTAGTCCTGGTTTTAGTCCTGGTTTAGATCTGGTTTTAGATCTGGTTTTAAACCTGGTTTTAGTCCTGGTTTAGTCTGGTTTAGACCTGGTTTTAGTCCTGGTTTAGTCTTGGTTTACCTGGTTTAGTCCTCGTTTAGACCTGGTTTTAGTCCTGGTTTAGTCCTTGTTTTAGTCCTGGTTTAGTCCTGGTTTTAGTCCTGGTTTTAGATCTGGTTTTAGATCTGGTTTTAAACCTGGTTTTAGTCCTGGTTTTAGTCCTGGTTTAGTCCTGGTTTAGCAAAATATGTGAAAACAGGAACATCCCACCGTGTAATCCATTTATTTCAACAAAGTAACTGTAATCCAATTACCACTCACTGAAACAGTAACAGTAACTGAATACAGTTACTCATAATTTGTACTCTGATTACATAACGCCGGTACATGTAATCTGTTACTCTCCAACACTGCTGATGTGTGAGGAGTTGGTGTTTTCTTAGATCAATACAAACTAGAATCATAAATAATTAGGGATGTAACGATATCGAAGTCTCACGATACGATATCATCACGGCACGATATTTATTACGATCCAAATCTCTCATTACGATATTTTGTGGAGGCTAATATGCGACTTCTTCCTCTTAAAATGCCTCGACAAGACTTAATCCAAAGACTTAAAAGTGTTTAAACTGTTATTTCTTCTTGTCGTCTGCACTGAAATGGAGCAAAGGATCATGGTCTTTGTAGTTCCCTCTGTCTTTCTTTTATCTATTGCTGCTCCATAACTCTTAATTTAAGCAAAGAGACTCATAATTCGATATATTGCGATGATCCACGATATTATTGTGAGAACTTTGACGATATTTCGATTATTGTTACATCCGTATAAATTATTGATTGTATTTAGATGTGGGATAAACATAATGTTGCTTTCTGCTCATTATTTTTTGGAAATCTTATTCAAATCAAAGTGAAAACAAACACTAGGGGCTTAAATACAGGGCTGTCAAGTTTAGGTGCAAAATATAAACAGCATTTCTAGGTGAATCGCAGCTTTTTAAATGATCTGAGTCAAAGCGGTTGTCGTTCTGTCGCCGTTCAAACAATGCCGTTTCTTTCAACACAATTGTGATCAATCTTGGAGCCCGAACATTTGTTGCAGGGTTGATCTGTCAGTCTTCTAGGAACGAGACGAGTTTGGAGGGGGATGGGTGAGTGAGAAATCCCGCAAAAGGACAATATGTTCACAAAGATGGAGCGGACGGACACGAGGAGAGAGAGAGGAGAGCGAAAGAACGAGAGGAGAAAGAGAGGAAAGTGAGAGGAGATAGAAGAGCGAGCTGGAGGAGCCTTGGCCTGGAGTGTGAGAGCTCCTCATTGGGGAGTTCTGACTAATCCTCTTAACCGTGAAGCCCCCTTCCCAGACGCAGACACTGCCCCAAATTGAGTCTACATCAGCTGACAGTCCCGGCCATGGATCCTTCCACCCGCTCTGGAAAACAGGCACAACATTCAGATCATTTAGAGCGTTCATCTAAAACAAAAGTGCACAAACTATGGGCCTCTGACTAGTTTTGTTGGCCTTAAATCAAAAGTAGAGATTGAGCAATATGGGTTTATCTGTGGATGATGCAGATTATGATTTGTTCCATGTACAGATCTTTTGGGCCGATATGATTGATTCATTTGTTTTTTTATTTCGAGTTTGTGCCAAGAGAGAAACTATAGTCATACACATACTACGTACTACTACTATTACTACTACTACATTGTACAACAACAGAAAAGGAAAAGTTCTACAAAAGGAGTGGGAAGAAGAAAAACAAACCCGCTTCTATTCATGACATAAATGATGTGGTTTCTTTTGAACACTGATCACAGAACTTTACAAATATTTACATAATAGTAAAATACATTTCATACTCTGGTCGTAATGACAAAGAAGGCACAGAAGTCCATCCCCGTAATCTCCGCAAACAAGCACTTTTACATTTTTATAATATGTATTGTTTGCTTGGGGGTGGGAAGGACAAAGACAACTAATTATTTTGGTTTAATAAAAAACAAAACAACAAAAAAAAAACAAGCAAAATGAGAATGAGTAAAATGTAAGGATCCTTTTTGTTTTCATTTATATGTAGAACAGTGCAAATATTAACCTGGTATATCAGCCAATCAGCAGATACTGCTCTATAGTCATCTCTGGTCAAAACCTACGGCTACGTCCACACGACAACACAACTGGATTTTATTTTATTTTATTTTTTTTACAGGCTGAAAAACATTCACGTCCACTCACGCATCGGATCAATAAATATTCACGTCTAGAACGGAGCACTGAGTGAAAACGATGTAATACCTGTTTTAGATGTGTCCCAGAAATATAGCCATGTTTTTTCGTTTTTAGCCATAAGATTTGGTTTTAGCCATAACTTGGTCTCAAAATGCAACAGTTTAATGACCTGTAGATAATCTTTGTTATTGATCCGTGTGTGTAATCTGTGGTGCGTGTTGTTAGCATTAGTGTTAGCGGCGTGTCTCGGTTGCTGGGCGACGGGAGCGGCTCTGTAGTCTACACCTGTCACATTTCTGTAACACTCTTGCAGTCCGCGGAGGCGAGTTTGAGGACTGCGGGCTTCGCTGTATCTGAGGACCCTGGCGATGACGGGGTCGCGACATCATCGTTTTCCAAAAGCTGCGGTTTGCTCGTCCACACGACAACGCGACGCCGGCGTTCTCAGATTTCTCCGCTCTGGAACCTGTTCTCAAAAAACACAATTTTCTCCCACCTGAAACGCCGGCTCCATGAGGACGAAAGACCAAAACGAATACAAACTTCAGCGTTTTGACCAAAATCGCCCCTAGTCCTAGTTCCAAAACCTAAAGTCTGTCGCTCTTTGCTTCACATATTGTTGAGTTTCTTCTTCTTCCTCTGTAAACTCTGACGCCTTGAGCTAAGTACATAGATCCATGACTGTTCTGACAGGTGATGTTTTTTCTCAAATGTTCAGCCCTATAGATCAGTCTGTGTCCTCATGTCTGCTGAACTCTTAATGCAGTAATGCTGTGCTGGGCCCTGCCTCCCAGATCCATCAAAGAGCAGCATATGGGAGCCATACACACAGCCCTGAAATCTAACTCTGTTTCTCGGTTTCAAACACATGTGAACTCCAACCACATTTAAACTATTCATTATAAGTACATGTGCCCGGCTCATGGGTTGGGTGGACTTGTTTGTAGGTTCAACTGCAGAGTTTGTACACGAGGAGGATTAAGTCTCAGGAAATCTGCAGCTTTTTTGATTCGATGGAGATGAATGAACGATGTTTTTTTACTCCGGTGTGATCAGGGACACTGTGTGACTCAACTGTGTGAAACAGTTAGTATAAAATGCCACCAGGTCATTATAAGTCCCACAAAAAGAGGACGATGATTTATTTAGTGTGTCTCTGTGGGTGCAGAGCTCTCCCAGCGGGTGCTGCGCGGAGGTGGCTGGCTCGTTTACGCGGACTGAGGCAGGTGACATGTTCAGACGTGTCGAAGAGATGAAAGGCATTTGTTTATGAATGCAATGCAGTCTTATGATGCCAGCTCGTGTGTGTGCGTGCCTGTGTGTGTACGTGTGTGTGTGTGTGTACGTGTGTGTACGTGTGTATGTGTGTGTGCGTGCGCTCACTCCCCAGCTGTGCTCACTCTTGTGTTTCCCTGAAGTGTTTCTAGTGCATCTGCAGCCCAGGAACAGAGGCTAATGCTAAGCTAACGTCAGAGCCTCTGGAGCACAGGATCAGTGACAGGTCACATGACCCCCGGCCGCCATGACAGGAGGCTGTATCAATTATTCAGACCCTACACCTCCTGCAGCCGCTGTTAAAGATCACACAAGAGTTTTACTTCACCTGAGAGCAAACGTTTCTCTACATTCAAAAGGCCCAGTGAATGTAACACATCAAACTTCAACTTCAAAAAATCTGAGACAAATACTTCGGTTTTAATCGCCGAAGCCCAATATCTACCAGTCCAATACCAGCACAGACACTCAAAATGGATGTTTCTTTCCTCAAATCAATCTAGCTGGTGGCGGCACGGTGGCTGAGTGGCTAGCACTCATGCCTCACAGCAAGAAGGTTCTGGGTTCGATCCCCAGGTCGCCCGGGCCTTTCTGTGTGGAGTTTGCATGTTTCTCCCCGTGTCTGGACGGGTTTCCCCCATCAACCCAAAACATGTTACAGGTCTCCAGAACAGTTGATAGTTAAGTTCAGTTAAATACAATCAATTCAATCATTGTGTCCTTAGGCAAGACACTTCACCCACATTGCCTAGTATGAAAGTGTTGTGTGCATGAGTGATGGTGGTGGTCGGAGGGACCGATGGCGCCGATTGGCATGGCAGCCGCGTTGTGGCTACAATAGTACCTTACACCAGGTATAGAGTGAATGAATAATGCTGAATAATGTTCTGTAAAGCGTCTTTGGGGACAGAACATGTCTGTGAAAAGTGCTATATAAATAAAGTCTTACTTAGACTTACTATCCAGTAACTCTTTATGAAAGGGAACATCTGCGAAATTGACGTTTTTCAACTTTTCACAAACATATTTATAGATTTATTTATCTTATTTCTCGCTCGCTTTAGTTTTCCCGTGAGGTTGTTTTCTGTATTTGCATGAACAGAACATGAACCTGGAAGTTTACTGCTCAGATTTGAAGTCCATAAACGATCACCAGACTCAAACTGCGTGCGTCACCTAATGACTTCTTTAATCATTAGCAGAGGGTATGCCAAAGCCTAAACACTCAACAACTCAACAGCGACATGTTGGGACGATTATTAAGTCAGAGTAAAATCAGAGAAAAATAAGTGCGTCCATGTGGGTAAGTTGTAAAGCTTTGCTGTGTGTGTTTTTCAGATTGGGGATCTCAAAGACCATTATCATTTCTTCCACAGTCGAACCATCAAGAGGTCAACGTTGTCCAGCAGGGGGCGACACAGCTTCATCTCCATGGAGCCAAAGGTAAATTATCTTTGATTTTCGCTTTGACCAATGCCCCACACTGTTCACATGACGGAGACTTAGGCTTAAAGGGCCTAAACTGCACTGTTTTTCATGTTAGTATTGTTCAGTTGTTTTGTTTCGTTCATTGATTTGCTGAGTTCTTCTCTCAAACAGAAAAAACACTGTTCCACCTTATGATGTCATATGGTAATACAGGAAGTCCACTGTTTTTTAAGCAATGTACTCCTTCACTAGAATCATTTGGATAAGTTCAGCTCTGGAATTGCCGATCTCTACTGAACTAAGGCCCTGTCCACACTAGTCGTATTCGAGTTGTTTTCGTTGTGGATGCAGTGTTTGTCCACCGAATGAAAACAGCTTCAGAGACGGAACGATCTGGTGCCGCCAACTCCCACGAATTCACCTGAGTACAGATCTGATCAGGCACTGTGTGGACGCCTTAAAACACTGATACTCTGATGTAGGTCTATGCGCCGCAAAGTAATTCACCGCCAAGAGGTTAACGCAAAGAGGTTAGAATATATGTCCATTCATATAAACGGTCTGTGCGTACGACCTGCAGACGAAAAATCTCTGAAAAGTTTCACATGAACCATCTCCAACGTGATAGAAACACAGAACAGACTCACCATCAGCAGAACATCCCTCTATCACAGAAAGAACACTCACCTTCCTCTGAGTCGTGTCCTTACGCTGCCCGCCCGCTGCCGCAAAGAATTTTAATTTTCAGTCCCGCTCCCGCTCGCATCTGCAAGTCCCGCAGGATGGGAACCTTTGCTTTCTTAAACTCTATCAAACACGGAGAAGGGAAAGGAATTGGGCTGCGTACGGGAGGAGGTGCGGTGGGCGATCCGGCGGCATGGTTAAGTCCTGGCTAAATCCTGTTTTAGTCCTGGTTTTAGACCTGTTTTTACACCTGGTGTAGTTCTGATTTTGTTGCGCAGGCCGCAAGACGTATGGAAGGAGGGACTGTTCGCACGGCGTACGGGACGGGGGGGACTGTTCGCACGGCGTACGGAACGGTGGGGGGACTGTTCGTGCAGCGTACTTGGAAGGAAGGACTGTCTGCGCGGCGTACCGAAGGAAGGACTGTTCGCACGGCGTACCGGACGCGGGGGGGACTGTTTGCGTGCTGTACAGAAGGAAGGACTGTCCGTGCGGCGTACAGGACGGGTGGGTCAGTCTTGGACGGTCTGCTGCTTAAAATCTTTTTATTAATGCCAAATAAAATCTCCAGCACAAATTATGCATGATGTGCTTATATTCATCTTTTGTATATTTTATTTATACTCATATTTAGTTTGCGGGACTGCAGTTTATCATCCCTCCCGCCCACTCCCGCGTTGTTTAGTCCCACTCCCGCCCGCGCCCGCAGCGAGCTTTCAAAATGTGTCCCGCCTCGCAGTGGTTTGCGTCTGACTGCAGGGCTCTACCACACATCACTCTTAGAAGGTTGAAAGCTCTGAAAAGTAGATTTTGCATGAGATGGGCCCTTTAAAGCTTCTGGCACTTCTGGCTTTTACAGTCAGCATTATGACTTTACCTCTTGACCCTGACTGTTTGCTGAATGTCTCTCCCCTCTCTCTCCTCATTTCATGCTACAGCTGGCCTATCCAACATAGCCTTTGGACGTGTACAATATGCAAAGCACTCGTGTTGGGTTGACCCAGAGTGAAGTTTGCCCTACAGTAACCCCTGCTCTCCAAACCCAGGCTGAATTATGCACCGCCATTGTCCCAGGCGCTCTGAAGAGGCTGCAGCCCTCTGACCATAAAAGGATTTCCACTTACGGCACAGGCTCTTGTGCCGTAATGCTCCTGAACAAAACACAACACGGCACGGGATTCCCATCAGGCTTTTTTTAGACCAGCGTTTCTGAGTAACTGCTGCGAGCTCAAAGCACAACACTCTCAAATGTTACAGTCGTTTTGGGGCATTTCGACTTTCCCCTGTTTATATAATTAGAATTTGCCACAAACTCATCCACAATCCTCTTTTACAAACTGGATAATAGAGCAGAGGAGTCATGTTTATGCATTTTATCATCTTCAATCCGTGTATCATTCGTTCATTCGTTTTTCAAAATAAAACAGAAAATAAGAAAACGAAAAAACAACGATTTTCTTCATTATTTATCTCCAAAAAACAAAATGAAAAAAACAGATAATGATTCAGTTTTTGATTTTGTGTTTAAATGAAAAATGGAAAAAACAGATAACGGACTGTTTACGTGACTTAAACTGCAACGCTGGACTGAACCAGGACTGAACCAGGACTGGGATCAGACCGGGACCAGACCAGGACCAGAACGTGATTGATACCGGGACTAGACCGGGACTAGACCGGGAGTAGACCGGGAGTAGACCGGGAGTAGACCGGGACTAGACCGGGAGTAGACCGGGAGTAGACCGGGACCAGACCAGAACGAGACCAGGACCAGACCGTGATTGATACCGGGACCAGACCAGGACCAGACCAGGACCAGACATGATTGATACCGGGACTAGACCGGGACTAGCCCGGGAGTAGACCAGGAGTAGACCGGGAGTAGACCGGGACCAGACCAGGAGTAGACCGGGAGTAGACCGGGACCAGACAGAACGAGACCAGGACCAGACCGTGATTGATACTGGGACCAGACCAGGACCAGACCAGGACCAGACCGTGATTGATACCGGAACCAGACCAGGACCAGACTGTGATCCAGACCAGGACCAGACCGTGATTGATACCGGGACCAGACCAGGACCAGACCAGGACCAGACCGTGATTGATACCGGAACCAGACCAGGACCAGACCGTGATCCAGACCAGGACCAGACCGTGATTGATACCGGGACCAGACCGGGACCAGACCAGGACCAGACCGTGATTGATACCGGGACCAGACCGTGATTGATACCGGGACCAGACCAGGACTAAGACTGGGACCAGACCAGGACTGAAAATGGTTTAGTCCTGGTTTAGTCCTGATTCAGTCCTAGTTCATTATTCATTTAAACACAAAATCAAAAAAAAAAAAAAAGAAGTATTTTTTCATTTTGGTTTTGCAGAGAAATAATGAAGAAAATAGTGTTTTTTCATTTTCTTATATTTAGTTCTATTTTGAAAAACAAATGAAACGAACGATACACGGATTATCTTCACACCAAAGCAATTAATGCAGATTCTTTAGGCAGCAAAACAAAATATCGGCCGATCTAAGGCAGATAAAAGTGCAAATATCTCCAGTGCCAATGCGACGTAGTTTGTTCCAGCTGCAGAACATAATGATTTTTACGGTTTCCAATTGACAACAGCAGCATGAAACATTTAAGTATCAAGTAATTTCCCTCGTGGATCAATAAAATCTGTCGAAGTCTAATGTTTCTCGAGAACTGAATGTTACTCACTGAGCTCGTGTGGCTTCCCCAACCGCAACCACAGTTTAATTGTTTCCCAGAGAAGTTGTCTGATGCTTCTTCAGACTGTGTGGGGAGTTGTGCTCAGTCACAGTGCAGGGGTTTGCAGCTCTGTGTCCCGCTGCTTTTCTTTAAAAATGTTCTCTAGGCTTAATTCATTTCATGTTGCAGTGATTGAATTTAATCCGTGTTTCATTTGTTCATTCGTTTTTCAAAATAAAACCAAAAATAACAAAATGAAAAAAGCAACTATTTTCTTCATTATTTGTCTCAAAAATCCAAAATGACAAAACGGATAATGATTCGTTTTGTGTTTTAAATGAATAATAGAAAAAACGGACAAAGGCCGATTCCGTGACTTAAACTGAGATGCCGGACTTTTTGCATTGCATACGGACTCAACCAGGACTTAACCAGAACTGAACCAGGACTCAACCAGTCTCAGTCCTGGTCCCGGGTCTCAGTCCTGGCCTGGTCCTGGTCCCGGTTTCAGTCCTGGCCTGGTCCCCTTTTCAGTCCAGGCCTTGTCCCAGTCTCAATCTCAGTCCTGGCCTGGTCTCGGTGTCAGTCCTGGTCCCGGTCTCAGTCCTGTTCTGGTCCCGGTCTCAGTCCTGGCCTGGTCCCGGTCTCAGTCCCGGCCTGGTCCCGGTCTCAGTCCCGGCCTGGTCCCGGTCTAAGTCCCGGCCTGGTCCCGAGACCGGTCTCAGTCCCGTTCTGGTCCCGGTCTCAGTCCTGATCACCCGACAGTCTACGTGGGCGCATCTCTAAGCCCGTCCCGACACTCCTGGTTCAGTCCTGGTTTCAGTCCTGGTTTCAGTCCTGGTTTCAGTCCTGGTTTCAGTCCTGGTTCAGTCCGTTGTGGTGCACAAGTCCAGCATCGCAATTTAAGACACGGAAACGGGAAACGGCCGTTATTTGTTTTTTCCATTTTTCATTTAAACACAAAATCGAAAACTGGAAAAATAAATAAAAAATCATTATTCATTTTTTCATTTTGGTTTTGGAGACAAATAATGAAGAAAATAGTTTTTTTTTTCATTTTCTTATTTTTGGTTTTATATTGAAAAATGAATGAACAAATGATACAAGGATTTTACTTAAATATTCATTTGTCAAAGTACACCTGGAGCTGCAGAGACGCCAAACATGGGCAAAGCTGCAAACAAACGTATTCTTAAAAACGTCAATTTACACCAGAGCTGCTCCTGCAACCACGACCTCTGGATATTCTCACGTTTAAACATTACACAGTTTTGTATTGCAACATATTCACTGTTGATCAGACGTTTTGCGTTTTAAAACTGTACAAAAGAGGGACGATATTTTAAGTAAAGCTGGTTAACGTTGTAAAGTGTATTTATTCCCCAAGGTTATAAACTTTCCGTCGTCCATCATGAGTCATTCCCCGAGGTCCTGAAAGTGACGCACGTTTACGCGACTGTAGTGTTTTCAGAAAACTTATTTTGAGGGCCTGTTTAGACGAGAAAACTTGCGGGTAAAAACAACAAATTATTTTATGAGAAGTGGCTTTCGTTTAGACGGTGACGGTGTTTTTGGGGCTTAAAAACGCAAAAATCTGAAACCACCCTCCAGAGTGGTAAAGTTGAATACACTCCGCCGTAGTGTTTCCGTCTACACTGCCCAAGACGCAAAACTCTGGTCAGATCTGCTCATGTCGTGTACACGTTTACGTCACATACATACAATACACAGAAACAAACACGTCGGATCATTTCCATGCGTCGGACGTTCAACCACCACCGAGCCGCCTGGCATGCATGCCCAATCGAATTCCACACACTTTTGCATCGCGGATTTCCTCCCAAAAACAAGACACCACGCCGTCATCATATAAACGTAGCCTGAAAGGGCATCGGAAGTTTATTTTGACACCACATGTCTGTTTTCCTGTGTTTCTCCTGCTGACGTTCAGGCTCTAAAAACTTAAAACGTGTCGTGTAGAGATGGGCATGATTAGTCGATCAATTGATAATTGACCATTAAGAATTTCGTCAGTTACGTTCATTTTTAATCGACAAACCGAATGTAGGTTGCTGTGTGTAGCGTAGGGTGACCAAACGTCTGTTTTTCCCCGGACATGTCCGTTTTCCACGTCTTGTCCTGGCTGTCCAGTTTTTGTTTGTTTTTGTTTTTAATAAAGTGATGCAGATGTTCAGGTTTTCATGATCTTTCATTGGGCCATTAAACTGAGGGTCTTTCGTAGCTCTCTGTAACTCAGAAGGAGCGAGCAGACACAGACAGTGGGTCAGCCTGCAACACGCCGAAGTGCAAATGAGTATTTAACGATGACTTGTACAAGAAATTCCCCGCTTTTCAACCCGGTCAAAACAAGTGTGAGGCCATGTGGACAGTGTTCAAAGCAGCACGTATGTTTCGGTGTCCAGTGGTGGTGCCAGGGACCTCAAAAAAAAAAAACATGAAAAAGCTTTGCCAGGTGAGAGTAACGCAATGTCGATGACGAGTCCCCACCTCCCTCCCCCCGTACGGTGTCCTGGTTTTGACAAACGCAAATATGGTCACACTAACCTGTATTCACCTGAGTCTTGTCCTTTAGTCTGACAGAAGTTGAACCACATCAGCGACACAAGAGCTGTTTTTTTTCCCTTCAATTAGTTTATGCAAATTAGCCATGTGGTTTTAAGTTTTGTTTCTGTGAGAGTTGCGCAAAGCTGCATTAAACACATTATAATGTCAAACGGGCTGATGTGGCTCTAGAGTCGTTACGGTTTATGTGTTGTGAAGTTTAATTTATTTATGCAGATTAGTAGTAAAAATAATAATGATCGATAATCAATCGTTAATTCTCCCGACGATCGATTAATGAAATTTCATCGAATGCCCATGCCTTGTGTCGTGTAATGTCGTGTGTGCCCACTGGACGCGGTTGTGACTCTGCTGGTGTAGATTGTTTGACTGGTTACAATGAAAAGTGATTCCTACACATTTTCTGCTATACGACGCTGTTACTGATTTGTTGTTTTAGTTTTTTTTAATGCCCTTAATAACCCGTCAGGTGAGGGTTAGGTGTTTTTTTTTTTTAATGGGGGCATTTTGGGGACACCACACACAATATATCGCAGTGGAAGTTCAAATATCAGCCGGTGTGAGATAGTATATTGACCCCGGGGTCGCTATAGTAAAGTGATCCCCCCATACGATTTTGACCCCCCTGACTTTTTTCTTTAGTCGTTACTTATCTGATCATTATTTCTCGTGTAATTTACGTTTATTATATATTACTACATATTCACTTTCTTTTAAGGTATTTTAAGGAATGTTTTGATGAAGAACGACTTGATATTTTGTGTAAATGTAACGTATTAAAAGTTAAAATTGCATATACGTAACAATCTTGTCACTTTTTATATTGTATTTTACATTGTTATGGTTTTTAGTTTGCTACGTTCAGATAATCCACATTTTAATTTTAAATTTTAAGTGAAGTTATTGATTACAGAAACCATTTAACAAATCTTATCCTATCATCTATTTAACTTCTCTATTGATCTTTAGCAAATCTTCTCATATCCCCTATTTAACTACTCAACTGATCACTCCTGTCTGTTTTAACAAGATTCCAAATCATTACACATCACTTTGATTACCTGTCTAATTAATAACTACTTATCTAATTTTCAGTGTTTAAACAACTAAGTCATTTTTAACATTCAAAAGTTATAATCAACATAAAAAAATGCATCTGAGTTCTTCAAAAACACTTTAATTTGCAGATATAGTGTTAATATTCAAAGTTTTTCTATAGAATTCAAGTTCTTTATTAATAAAATATAGATTTTCATAGGGGGTCAGCATATCATAATAGGATTCTGACCCCGGTGTCAAAATACTATATTGTATTTTGACCCCGGAGTCACCTCACCGCGGGGTCAAAATCCTACACCACACCGGTTTAGTTCCACAGTGAGTTTGACACGACAGCGCAACAAAGATGAGAATAATAATTATGTCAACTCAACACAATCTGTTTATTTTCTCTTGGGAGCGTGTGTCTAAACAGCGCATGTTAATGAACGATTACTACTGAAGATAAACATAACACACAATAGTACGATATCCTGTGTAAACAAGGTCCCGGCCTCATGTTTAATGTAGAGCCTGAGCAGATCCGGTGCAGTGAAACGGAGCTCTGTGGCTGCATGAGAAGGACACTTGTGCTGTGAACTCTTCCCCAGTTTCCTCTGAGTGAGAGCGAGCACCTGCAGAGGCACAGAGATGCACTGAGCATCTGTGAATGACCACAGAACACATTTAGATGCACACAACTCGACCACTGCACTGTGTGTCCTGTAGTCTGATGAGTCTGATCCGTCCAGAGAACAGAGCAGACCACACTCTGCCCTGTCTGGACTCAAGCCAGCAGGTGAAATACTGGAAACACACAGCGCTGACACATTCAGGGTGTGTGGGAAATGAGGATTAGCGCTCAGACTTCGTACATGAAGAATAACATATGTGGTGTGTAGTTTTGTCTCTCAGCTCCTCAGGATAATGACTCTGCTCTCCTGTCTCAGACCGAGTGAGTTACAACCTAATGAGGACTGAGACAAGACTTGATTTGGTTCACATGTGTCTGATCCTGGCGCAAAACGAAGCCCAGAGCAATAACAGAGGGACTAAAGCTCAATCTTTAAGGGTTTCTAAAAGGGTGACAAGGGACAGGCTCTTAACATTCAAAAAATGTGTGTCTGGAAATGGGAAAATTCCAGTGAAAGCCGAGCGACTGCTTCCAGGAATGCCTTGGTCTCGACGCACGCCCATAACGTCTGACAGATTAATGTTACCACGGAGACGTGTTTGTAGACCAGGCCTGAGGAAGAGGGGTCTTCTCTCTGCAACTGCACAGTCAAGTTATGAAAGACATTTACTTTAGTTATCTCTGGTTTATTCTTCAGTAAAGATGTGTTATTACAAGAGAATCCTTTGGGTTTTAAACTCCTTTTCAGTTTCTGTTTGTAAACACAAGTTCTTAGTCATCATTTTACAAGCCCTAGCGTCTCACTCTGAACTTTGTTTAACTCAGATGTTTCATCTGTGAACAACAAACTGTAGTGTTGATTAGACAGTTCTGTTGCCTGAGCAGCCAGTCCAGCCGACATTCTGTTCAGATCCAGAGGGTTTGGAATCAGATCATGGAGTGAAACCTCCACGAGAACTTGGGACTGTCCAACCTAAAGACAGACTGACAGTGTTGGGAAGGTGACTTTTAAAATGTATTCCCCTACAGATTACAGATTACAGATTACATACACCAAAATGTAGTTTGTAACGTAATTCATTAAGTTACTTTAGGTGAGTAACATAATCTGAATACTTTGGATTACTTGGTTTGCTGTAGAGAAGCAAAGACTCACATAAGATGTTTTGTCTGCTAAAATAAATAAAAATAATAAAAAGCCCAGACTTTACTGAACCAAATTAAAAATAGTATTGATAGAAGAGGAGGAGACACGGTCCGCACAGCATGATTTAGTCCTGTTAAATCCTGTTTGGACCTGGTTTAGTCCTGGTTTAGTCCTGGTTTAGACGTGGTTTAGTCTTGGTTTAGACGTGGTTTAGACATGGTTTAGTTTTGGTTTAGTCCTGGATTAGATCTGGTTTAGACCTGGTTTGGACATGGTTTTAGTCCTGGTTTAGACGTGGTTTAGTCTTGGTTTAGTCCTGGTTTATATCTGGTTTTAGACCTGATTTAGTGTCCGGCAATAAGTGGAATTACCGAGGAAAGAAAAAAAAAAAAAACAGGGGGGGGGGGTATAGCCCAAAATGTGAAAACAGGAAAATATCGTTGTGTAACCCATTTATTTCAACAAAGTAACTGTAATCCAATTACCACTCACTGAAACAGTAACTGTAACTGAATACAGTTACTCATAATTTGAACTCTGATTAGGTAACTCTGGTACATGTAATCTGTTACTCCCCAACACTGCAGACTGATAATATTTCTTGGCGGATATTTGGACTTTACGTATTCTGGTGTAAATCTCCAGCACAGGCCAATACTTGGTTTTGGTCAATTTACTGCCTAAAATGCACCCAAAGCTTTAAACACTTTCATATGGAGAGATAATTGCACTGGCTTGTGGTGAAAAGGACTGTGGGTGGGATTGTAGTAAATTTAAATGACATCATTTGAGGAAAATAATCAAAATTGGCCCAGTATATTGGCTTAAAAATATCAGCTCAGCTTATCGGCCAACAGTTTCTCTGGATTCTAAACATTCGGGCAAGAGGCAGTTATCTCTCATGTCGTGTTTGCTGCTTTTTGCCTTGGTTGATGTTGTTATTCCCGTTTACTGGTGCAGTTCTTGGCGTCTTTTTATCTGGACTTGATTACGTAAAAGTCCTCCTCAGCATCACCGTTGTGGCTGCAGTGGACTTTGACTCTCTGTCTCTGTTTCAGGTGGAGTGGATCGAGCAGCAGGTGGTGAAGAGGCGGATCAAGAGAGATTACAAACCGGTCCCGCCCCTTTCGCACTCCAGCCCCGCCCACAACAGCATATACTTCAACGACGCCAAGTGGAGCAACATGTGGTACATTGTAAGTACTCAGGCCACAGGAGACGGGCGGTAAACAGTATATCTGATGATCTAATTCACAGGTGTCACACATATGGCCCGGGGGCCAGATCCGGCCCTCCAAGACCTTTAATCTGGCCCTCAGCTGATGTTCTACTAAAATATTTTAATTATATTTTCTATTAAAATATTGGTAATTTTCTGCTGTGTTTATCACAGCAGCGTCTCCAGCGTCTCTGTACGTGGCCCCTCCCACCAGAGCAGCACAAATGAAGACTTGTCTCTTTCCAAACGCTCTTAAAGGACGATCGTTTTTGACTGTTGACCGATCAAAGTAGGTTGGATACGGCCCCCGGACCAGAATGAGTTTGACACCCCTGATCTAAATGATGCAAAACTAAATATCACTCTGACATGATCGGTTTAGGTTTAGCTCTGCTCCCACTGCACAAATCTGTTCTGTCATCATTAGTGTTTATTGTTTCTGCACATTCTCAGGGTTAGTGCAGCTCTGCGGAAGTTTGAATGCAAATGATATGAAATTTTAATTTCATATCTGTCCCAAAATATATTAAAACAAGAGCCCATGTACATGAACTCACTGGCTTGGCCTCAGTAAGTGCGCTCTTATACAGGCGGATCTGCGTCTACGTGTGTTGAGCTTCACTTCCACATGATTCTTTTGTAGGTCAAAGGTCGTGTGAGGGCACAGCGCTGTTCTGATCTATCGTCTAAGGAACGTGTGTCAAAGTTATGAGACGGGGTTTACTCCGGTGACTTATGTTAACATATTTTCCGGACTATAAATCGCTCCGGAGTATAAGTCGCACCAGCCAAAAAATGCTCTGTGAAGAAGAAAAAAACATATATATAAGTCGCACTGGACTAAAGGCTCCTTCATCTCGGCTGATGGTGCTCTATTTGAAATTAAATTACCGTATTTTCCAGACTATAAGTCACTCTGGAGTATAAGTCGTACCAGTCAAAAAATGTGCAATGAAGAAGAAAAAAAACATATATTTAAGTCGCACTTTTTGGGGAAATGTATTTTATAAAATCAGAGACCAGGAACCGACATTTCATCTTGAAAGGCAATAGAAGAGAGAACAACAGGATGAATAGGTGTTAATATGTTAACGTTAAATATGAACAGTTATTTAGATAATTATAGCATAAACAACAGAATATAAGTTTACCAATCTCACGCTCTCACTCCAAATCACTTAATCCATTAAATTCTTCATGTCACTTTTGCTTGACCTCTGGAGATAAACCATAGATCCATGAGGTAAACAGAGCAGCACTTCCTCTTCTGTGTACCGTATTTTCCGTGTTATTAGACGCGCTCTTAAGCCTCTAACTCCATCAAAAAATGACCGCGCGCCCCGCAAGCCAGAGCGCCCTATACACGAATCCACTCGGGTGTCACAGCACGACTTCAGTAAACTACAAAGCCGCAACACCTGCAGAACACACAAACACACACGGAGCAGACAGCGACCGCACAGCGAAAAACACCCACAGACACACTCATCACTCCACGCCGACGAGGAACGGAGGAACGAACCAAAAAAGCGAGTGCAATGTGCCAATCTGAGTCACAACTGAACAACTGAGTCACTGGGACCAATCCGTTGGTCCCAGACAGCACCCTCCCTACACGCCACATCTGAACAAAGCCCAGAGTCACCGTGAACGCCACAAACAAACAAAACCACTGACCCATCCAACTGTTGTTTCGTTTAAAGTCCAGTGCGGTTTATTTGTGAAAAAAGAAAATAGACCATTTAATGACAGTGCGCCTTATAATCCAGAGCACCTAATAGCCAGGAAAATACGGTAGCTGTTGTCAAACTCAGAATCAGCTCCAGTTAGAATCATTCCGGCCTTTCTGAATCCCGACAGGATGGTTTCTTTGTCACTGAAGTTCGGGCTTTGTCGAATCATCCAGTGACTTCCAGGAAAGTTACATGGTGCATCCTCCTGGTTCCTGTGAAGCTGTGTTCTCCATCCCCCGCATTCCTCCAGTCCCTCACAAGTTTCTTAGTTACTCCAAACTTTCTTTCTTTCTGCTGCTCAATTACCATTTTCAGCTGAATATTTCTCTATTTGCAGCAGAACATCGGCTTTTTCTACAGGAGACATGCGCAGTAGAGTGAAGTGACAGTGTTACAGGCGTAATAGTCGTACTAGATACTGACACACAAGACTAGAGCCTCTTGTGACTGTCAGTCTGAAAATTTTAATATATAAGTCGCACCGGAGTATAAGTCGCAGGAAACACCCAAACCATGAAAAAAAGCGTGACTTATAATCTGAAAATACAGTATATATTAGTCCATTAATACATATATTTAGTCCAGATCACTTTTTGTCAGACTTGATCTTCAACTAATACTTTTACACTCATGATTTATCACATTTTTGATGCACTGTCAAAAAAAAATCTGGTTTCTTTTATCACTCTCCGCCAGTACGTTTATATTTCCAGCACTTTCATTTGCTTTGCTTTGTGTAATCTCCAAGTCAAATCTCTGTGGAGGTGAAAACATACTTTGTACAGAATAGTTTGTGTTCAAAGTCTGATAGAGGACTGATTCAGAGGTTTATCAGGAGTGTGCGCACGTGCCTCCCCCCCCCTTCGTCCTCTTCCTCCTCCTCCTCCTCCCCCCGCTCATCTCTGCTATCTCTTACCTCTGTGTCCTCAGCCCTCATTAATGGATAACTCCAGTCGATAAGGGCTAATACTTTGATCACATGGTGAACTGTTTGTCAGAAGTAGGACAGAACCCTCTGACCTCTTACTGTAGAGGCGTGTGTTACCACTGGGGGAGTTGCACAATTATTTTTGGTTCCTGGCAGCGACTGGCTTTGGCTTTATGTCTTTATTTCCTTTAAGCAGAGAAGTTTGTCAGTGAGACGTGTTTACCGTGGCAGGTTTGGGCTTGATCTCGGTGGTGTTATGTCATTATCAGCTGCTGTTACTTCCTGTAGGCGTGGTCAACCCGATGGAATAATCGAGTCGCTCAGGCTGACCACGCCTTTTTACGCTCGGTGAAGGGTGCCCCAGGTGTGTGAGAGGAGAAAGGCTCCTTCGTCTCAGTTGATGTGCTCTGTTTGAAATTAAATTACTGTATTTTCCAGACTATAAGTCGCTCTGGAGTAGGGGTGTGCAAAAATATCAAAATATTGATATATCGTATCGTTTAATGTGCTGATACAGTATTGATATTGTGGGCTGCTGTATCGATATATCGTCAAGAGTATTTTAGGTATATTTTCACTAAATTAGTTTGTGTAAGAGCTACAGTTGTGTTGACATTTTCACTGTTTTGAGTAAAATGGATGTTTTTCACATTCACTTTTCACAAACTTAGTGGACTTTTAGTATTAGAGCCATCATTTAGCCTTTTTTACACTGTACCGTATCGAATCGATGTGAAATATATTGTATCGAATTGTATTGAATCAAAAGCTCACTGTATAGAAAAGCGTATCGTATCGTGGCCTGTGTATCGAGATATGTATCGTATCGGTAACTTCTTAACGATACCCAGCCCTACTCCGGAGTATAAGTCACACGAGCCAAAAAATGCTCAATGAAGAAGAAAAAAACATATATAAGTCGCACTTTTTGGGGAAATGTATTTTATAAAATCAGAGACCAGGAACTGACATTTTATCTTGAAAGGCAAGTTCTAGTAAAAACATTAGAACAGAGAACAACAGACTGTTAATGTCACATATTTCACAGTTCTTCAGATAAACTATAACAGAAACAACAGAACAGAACAAGTTTAACAAACTCTCCATCTCACTCCAAATCACTAAATCCATTCAATTCTTCATCCTCGGTGTCACTTCTGCTCAACCTCCGGAGGTAAACCATAGATCCATGAGGTAAACAGAGCGTCGCTTCCTCTTCTGTGTAACTGTCGTCAGACTCGGCATCAGTTCCAGTTAGAATTATTCCGGCCTTTCTGAATCCCGACAGGATGGTTTCGATTGTCACTGAAGTTCAGGCTTTGTCGATTCATCCAGTGACTTCCAGGAAAGTTTCATGGTGCATCCTCCCGGTTCCCGTGAAGCTGTGTTCTCCGTCCCCTCTTTCCTCCAGTCCCTCACTCACAAGCTCCTCGCTCACTCCAGACTTTCTTTCTGCTGCTCGATTACTGTTTTCAGATGAATATTTCACTATTTGTGGCGAGACAGCGACTTTTTCTACAGGAGACATGCGCAGTAGAGTGAAGTGACAGTGGTACAGGAGTAATAGTCGTACTAGATACTGACACACAAGACTAGAACCTCTCGTGGCTTCAGTCTGAAGATTTTAATATATAAGTCGCACCGAAGTATAAGTCACAGGAAACACCCAAACCATGAAAAAAGTGACACATATAGTCCGAAAAGTAGTCAGAAGTAAATAAACTGTAAAATTATGTTTGTTTTTTTGTTATTTACGTTTGAACATTGCGCACAAATGATTCTCTCTAAATGAACTGTCCCTGTGTTCGTCAGCACTGTAACGATGACGTCCATAACTGTCAGTCGGACATGAACATCATGGGGGCGTGGAAGAGAGGCTACACCGGCAGAAATGTGGTGGTGACGATTCTGGACGACGGCATCGAGAGGAACCACCCAGACCTGTCTCAGAACTACGTGAGTGTGTATGTATGCCCCCGGGCAGTTTGACGGTACTGTGTGTGTGTGTGTGTGTCTGTGTGCGTCTGTGTCTGTGTGTGTTATAGTGTGTGTTAGTGTGCGTCTGTGTGTGTGTGTGTGTGTGTGTGCATCTGTGTGTGTTAGTGTGTGTTTAGTGTGTGTTAGTGTGTGTGTGTGTGTTAGTGTGTGTTAGTGTGCGTCTGTGTGTGTTATATAGTGTGTGTGTGTCTGTGTGTGTTAGTGTGCGTCTGTGTGTGTTATAGTGTGTGTTAGTGTGTCTGTGTGTTAGTGTGTGTTAGTGTGCGTCTGTGTGTGTTATAGTGTGTGTTAGTGTGCGTCTGTGTGTGTTATAGTGTGTGTTAGTGTGCGTCTGTGTGTGTTAGTGTGTGTGTGTATAGTGTGTGTTGTGTGTAGTGTGTTAGTGTGCGTCTGTGTGTGTGTTAGTGTGCGTCTGTGTGTGTTATAGTGTGTGTTAGTGTGCGTCTGTGTGTGTTATAGTGTGTGTTAGTGTGTCTGTGTGCTGTGTGTGTGTGTGTAGTGCATTAGTGTGTGTTAGTGTGCGTCTGTGTGTGTTATAGTGTGTGTGTGTTATAGTGTGTGTGTGTCGTCTGTGTGTGTTAGTGTGTCTAGTTAGTGTGTGTTAGTGTGCGTCGTGTGTGTGTGTGTGTTATAGTGTGTGTTAGTGTGCGTCTGTGTGTGTTATGTGTGTTAGTGTGCGTGTGTGTGTTATAGTGTGTGTTAGTGTGCGTCTGTGTGTGTGTGTTATAGTGTGTGTTAGTGTGTCTGTGTGCGTGTGTGTGTTATAGTGTGTGTTAGTGTGTGTTATAGTGTGTGTTAGTGTGCGTCTGTGTGTGTTATAGTGTGTGTTAGTGTGCGTGTGTGTGTGTTATAGTGTGTGTTAGTGTGCGTCTGTGTGTGTGCATTAGTGTGTGTTAGTGTGCGTCTGTGTGCGTCTGTGTGTGTGTGTGTGTTAGTGTGCGTCTGTGTGTGTTATAGTGTGTGTTAGTGTGCGTCTGTGTGTGTTAGTGTGCGTCTGTGTGCGTCAGTGTGTGTGTGTATCAGAGGTGGAAAAAGTACTGAAAAATTGTAATTTATTAAAAGTATCTTTACTTTGCTGAATTCTTACTCAAGTAAAAATAAAACTAAAAGTAATCTAAAACTACTTGCATAAAAGTAAAAAAGTGTTTAATTTAAAATGTAATTTGAGTAAAAGTTACTTAGTTACTTTCAATTATTTGATGTAAAAAAGGATACGTCATAAATCTTATCCAGCACAAATTGTTTTAATCAACTTTTGATACAGAAAAACTTTGTTCAGTCCAAACTTTGTACATTTTAAACACAACTGAGGTTATGAACACTTAATAACACTGAGCTCTTCCTTCTTTTTATAGAACTTTTTAGAACATAGAACTTTAATTGCATAACAAATTACACAAATTAACAACAACAACAATTTTGAGCGCTGACAGCTCTGTCTTGTGGGGCAGACACATTTTGCATTATTCCCTATTTTGTGTTTGAACGCAAATATCTGTCTGAGGTTTGGCCAGAGGTTTCCTTCGCTTTCCTCTCGAGAATTATTCGATGCACCTTCTTCTTGAAAATCGTCCATGTCGCCCTCGATCTGCGGCTCGGCACCGGTGTCATCCAAGTTGATCCAAGACAGACTGACGGTTCTGAACAATGGCTGAACATTCTATAGTGAAAATGCCGCTCGTGACACCCGTGCAATTTCTTTTCATTTACCGCAGATTAGGTTTTTTGTCGCATTTCATTTTTTTGCTCTACAAATCAGATTTTACTCAGTAACGAGGGCGGGTTCCACTGTAATGAAGTTAAAATATTTGGGTCAAAATGTACTCAAGTAAAAGTAAAATGACCTATTTCAAAAACTACTTAAAAAAATTGCAAATTACTCACAAAAACTACTCAAATACAGTAACGTGAGTAAATGTAATTCGTTGATGTGTGCGCCCCAGAACAGTTTGAGGGTGCAGTTCGTGTTTCCCAGTGTGCATCTCTGTATCGACAAACACATTTCCATATCGATATTTATGAACAGACGTTTCTCTCATTGCGCCTCACCCGAATCATTTGACCTTTAATTTAATAACGTTTCTCTTGCGCCCCCTGCAGGACGCCCAGGCCAGCTACGACGTCAACGGCAACGACGGGGACCCCATGCCCCGATACGACGCGACCAACGAGAACAAGTAAGAGCGTCCGGGGGCAGAGTTCCCATGTGAGAGTGGAGCGTTTGGAGGGAGCGCTCCGGTGTCTGGGCTCTGAGGCTCTGAGGCTCTGAGGCTCTGAGGCTCTGAGGCTCTGAGGCTCTGAGGCTCTGAGGCTCTGAGGCTCTGAGGTTCTGAGGCTCTGAGGCTCTGAGGCTCTGAGGCTCTGAGGCTCTGAGGCTCTGAGGCTCTGAGGCTCTGAGGCTCTGAGGCTCTGAGGCTGAGGTTCTGAGGCTCTGAGGCTCTGAGGCTGAGGCTGAGGCTCTGAGGCTCTGAGGCTCTGAGGCTCTGAGGCTCTGAGGCTCTGAGGCTCTGAGGCTCTGAGGCTCTGAGGCTCTGAGGCTCTGAGGCTCTGAGGTTCTGAGGCTCTGAGGCTCTGAGGTCTGAGGCTCTGAGGCTCTGAGGTTCTGAGGCTCTGAGGCTCTGAGGCTCTGGGCTCTGGTTCTGAGGCTCTGAGGCTGGGCTCTGAGGCTCTGAGGCTCTGAGGCTCTGAGGCTCTGGCTCTGGGCTCTGGGGCTCTGAGGCTCTGAGGCTCTGAGGCTGGGCTCTGGGCTCTGAGGCTCTGGGCTCTGAGGCTCTGCTCTGAGGCTCTGAGGGGCTCTGGCTCTGGGCTCTGGGCTGGGCTGGGGCTCTGAGGCTCTGAGGCTCTGGGGCTCTGGGCTCTGGGGCTCTGGGGTTCTGAGGCTCTGAGGCTCTGGGGCTCTGGGGCTCTGGGCTCTGAGGCTCTGAGGCTCTGAGGCTCTGAGGCTCTGAGGCTCTGAGGCTCTGAGGCTCTGAGGCTCTGAGGCTCTGAGGCTCTGAGGCTCTGAGGTTCTGAGGCTCTGAGGCTCTGAGGCTCTGAGGCTCTGAGGCTCTGAGGCTCTGAGGCTCTGAGGCTGTGGGGCTGTGGGGCTGTGGGGCTGCGGTGCCAGTTTGGCTCAGAGTTTTGGCACCGGCTCAGTCCCGGCTGGTAGTGCATCCACTTAAAGAGACAGAGCGCACAGATATGATAACTCAGAAATGTAAACTGAGACGAGGAAAGTTTTACTGATGCCGTCTCCTCATGATTCCAATTCATAACAAACTCACACCACAACCTGCTGGAGTTTAGACTGGGTTTATGAAAGTGGTTATGTGAAGAATCCGTGTGTCATTCGTTTATTCGTTTTTCAATATAAAACCGAAAATATGAAAATGAAAAAAATAACAGTTTTCTTCATTATTTGTCTCCAAAAACCAAAATGAAAAAACAGATACTGATTTTATTTTTTCATTTTTCGATTTTGTGTTTAAATGAGAAATGGAAAAAACAGATAATGGACATTTTCCGTTTCCGTGACTTGAACTGCGATACCGGACTTTTGCACAGCATGAACCAGGACTGAACCAGGACTAAACCAGGACTAAACCAGGACTAAACCAGGACTAAACCAGGACTAAACCGTTTTCAGTCCTGGTCTGGTCCCGATCTCAATCCCGGTCTCAGTCTCAGTCTCAGTCCCGGTCTCAGTCCCGGTCTCAATCACGGCCTGGTCCTGGTCTGGTCCCTATCTCAGTCCTGGTCTGGTCCCAGTCTAAGTCCTGGTCCCAGTCTGGTCCCAGTCTCAGGCCCGGTCTTAGGCCTGGTCTCAGTCCCCGTCTCAATCCCGGTTTCAATCACGGCCTGGTCCTAGTCTGGTCCTGATCTCAGTCCTGGTCTGGTCCCAGTCTGGTCCCGGTCTCAGGCACATTCTCAGTTCTGGTCTCAATCACGGCCTGGTCCTGGTCTGGTCCCGATCTCAGTCCTGGTCTAGTCCCAGTCTAAGTCCTGGTCCTGGTCTCGGTCCCGGTCTGGTTCAGTTTTTTTCCATTCTTCATTTAAACACAAAATCGACTGAAAAAACGAATCATTATCTGTTTTTTCAGTTTGGTTTTAGAGACAAATAATGAAGAAAACTGTTATTTTTTTGTTTTCTTATGATACACAGATTTTGAAAGGTCACACATTTTCATTTTGTTTCGTAGACTTAAGTAAACTTATCTCCTGTCTCTTTATTCTCAGTCACTCTGCTGGTTTGTCTAGAGCTTTGGTTCACTCCAGAGTCTGACGTCGTGGCTCTTGTGCTCACCAACACGTCGCTGAAACCTCAAATTAAGTTCTTGTTCTCGTTCAGTTCTGTTTTATTGAATGAATCGTGTTCTGTGCATCTGGCCTCTGACGTGCGCTCACATCACGTTCGGTCTGAGGACTCTGCTGTTCCTGTGAGGGCAGAGTTTGCTGTGAGACTGAGGCGCAGATGTGCAGAGGAGGGAAGCAGACCATTTTATTGAGTGAAGTCTGCTCCAGAGGTTCAGACGCAGATCCAGCTGTTTGGGCCTGAGCTTAACCCTTCACTGTGTCTCCTGTCCGTATAACCAAAGCACGTTTAAGAGCATACACAAAAATATATTTATGATTAAACCCTTTCAGAGGAATAACCAAAGCGGACCCCATGATCATTATTTAGGCTGATGCTTGTGCCATTTACACACAGTTAGACTTTATAAATGAATATCAATTTAAACCTTTTAACCTCTTGTGGTTGATTTTAGGAGCTGATTTCTTTGGCAGGGTTTATTTTAAGGGAGTACTCCTCATGAAAATTGCCAGTTTGGCGCCACCTAGTGTCTCCGCTCAATTTCATTTCTCTCCACTGACTAGGTCAGGAATCAGAATACACTAGACGGTTCACAAAAACCCCGGAAGTGCAAGTTCGGACACCAGACAATCAGCGAAGAGACATGTATTCAGTGTTGTCAACGATTCCCGAGATTGAGGATTTAAAGGCGGAACAAGGAGAATGTTTAGTGAATTTTATCAAGGGGAAAGACGTTATTGTCCTTCTTCCTACAGGATTTGGGGAAACTTAATATAATTAGCCCCGTTGGCGGCGCATTACATCACGACCAAATAGCGACAGTTGGTTAAATGATAAAAAAATACTCACCTACTGTCGAGTGAATGAAATCCTAACTGTGAGGTCAGACGGTTTCTGCGAAGTGAAATGAAGTGAAACTGGCTGATTGAATCAGGCAGTCATGAAATGGAGAAGGAATGAGGAACAGTCCAATGAGGTTCATTTGGTCTTCCGATATTTTATGTTATTAGTTTTTTTTTTTACAGACCAAGAGTTTGTTTTCATACCTGACAGTTTCGACTGCTCACTAGTGGTCTTCTACAGAGTGGTCACATGATGTTGCTGTGACGTGTCACTCAGCTGATGTAAACAGGTTTTAGCGCTGTCTTCCTACCGGTGGAGGCAGGACGACAGCGCCATCTGCAGTCCCACTTCCTCAGGACAGTATCCCAGGTGTGTGTGAGTAAAAAAGCCCCTCATCCCGGTTTATAGTCCCGTGGGCACTGCAGATGGCGCTGTCATCCTGCCAACAGTTCTTAGAACTGTTATTTCTTCTTGTAGTCTGCACTAAAAGAGCAAAGGATCATGGTCGATGTAGTTCCCTCTGTCTTTTTTTTATCTATTGCTGCACCATAACTCTTAATTTAAGCAAAGAGACTTGTAATTTGATATATTGTGATGGTCCACGATATTATTGTGAGAACTTTGACGATACAATATCATGATATTTCGGTTGTTATAAGGACTGCACTTAAATTTTGTTGTATCTGTTACAATGGCAAATGAAGATATTCTAATCTATTCTTCTGCGTCTGTCACTCCATCTGTCCCTGATGCTTTGTTTTATCGTAGTATTGTTGATGTTTGGTGGTTATGATCTGACAGAGCAGCTCAGAGTCACACTGACACGAATACATGAGCAGCTTCAAAATCTCATAAGAAGACACAAAGTCGGGTCACACCTCCTCAAACCCGTGGAGAAGTAAATCGCAGCTTTAGTCGGGCACGTTCTCTTGTAGTGTGTGGTCACCTTTAGTCTTGGTGGGCAGATCTCCAGTGCACAGGAGCTGCTGTAAATACTGCAGAATGTTATGGACATGTTCATTCAGGCACATGGACAGATGTGTGAGTCTGTGCTGATCTGAGGAGGAGGACGATGTTTGTTTGCACTGGGCTCGGCCGCCATTGTCACCGCGGCTGGAATGCCCCCCTGGACTGACACTGACACAAAACATCTCCAGAGGATTGACTCAGGAATGACCATTTTCATCAAACATTTCATCAAACCTCCACTAAGTCTTAAATCAATTTTTTTAAATTCTAAAGTTTGCCCTCAATTGAACCTAATTTTTTTCACCAAAATATATATGGTCCATTAGAAAAACGACGACTAAATGCGGTCTACAGTTTTAATCTCCACAGTAAAACTTAATCAAGAAAATTCAATTCAGTCAAAAGTAAACACCGTTCAAGGGCCAGACTCATAATAAACGACATGTTCCTCCTCTGTTTCTCCTCAGACACGGGACGAGATGCGCTGGTGAAGTCGCTGCAGCTGCAAACAACTCCCATTGCATTGTGGGAATCGCTTACAACGCCAGAATTGGAGGTATGTGACGTTTACCTTCACAGGGACAGTGGTTTGAGTTAATGGTTCAAACATCACCAAGTGTGTACTGTTGTCGTGCCCCTGAGCAGGACATTTTCCTCTGCGGTCGCTGGGCAGGGCTCTGGAGGCAAAGATGTGGGCACTCGCTGCAGTTGTGTTAGAATTACCCATTTACAAAAACTGCTGATACTGGACATATATAATGAAATACCACTGTTTTTTATGAATCCTTTAAATTCCCTTGACCCTGTCTCGTAGAGTTTAGACGGGTTTCATCAAATAAATCAAAAATATTCTAAAATATCAATGGGGCTTAGTTATTTTACCTCTTTTTACTTCATGTCTGAGGACACAGATGGTGTAATATTATGGAATACATAAAAAAAAAACATAAAGTAGCTCCTGAAAAGCTCACAGAGGCCTGTGTGTTTTTGTGTTTCTGTGGCAGGTGTGCGGATGCTGGACGGTGATGTGACTGACATGGTGGAGGCCAAGTCCCTGAGCCTCCACCCTCAACACATCGACATCTACAGCGCCAGCTGGGGCCCGGACGACGACGGCAAGACTGTGGACGGACCCGCCTCTCTCGCACGGCAGGCCTTTGAGACCGGCATACGCATGGTAATCATGATCAGAATAATCTTTATTCATGTAGCTCCTTTTAAAAGTATGAGACGCTCACATCACACTCACATGTCCCACAGTGTGTCCCCGACAGTGTGTCCCCGACAGTGTGTCCCCGACAGTGTGTCCCCGACAGTGTGTCCCCGACAGTGTGTCCCCGACAGTGTGTCCCCGACAGTGTGTCCTCAGCAGTGTCCTCTAACAGTCTAATACTTTGCTGCCAGGTTTCCTCCCAAACACTCGCGCTCAGGCATATGTGCACTGCTCTGCTCCAGGTCTGGACTGCTTCCCGGACTCACCAGCTGTAACATAAAAACCTGGACTGTCCCTGTGGACTCCTGCAGTATAGGCAGATCTCATACTGTTGTATTGTTTTTGGCTCTTCTGAGTGTTCACAGGTTTTTGCCATTTCTTATTGTGATTCATAATAAATAAAAGGTGCCTGGGACATGAAGAGCTCGGCTTTACTTGCACGTACCTGCTGTAATAACTCAACATTTCCTGACACAGATTGTTAAACTGTTACATTGGCAGTGTGTTCCTGCGGAGGATTAGTTCACACTCATGATCTCACTGATGGTGTGTTTAGGGGAGGAAGGGCCGCGGCTCCATCTTCGTTTGGGCGTCAGGAAACGGCGGGCGCAGTCGAGACCACTGCTCCTGTGACGGATACACCAACTCCATCTACACCATCTCCATCTCCAGCACCGCCGAGAGCGGCCGCAAGCCCTGGTACCTGGAGGAGTGTTCCTCCACCCTCACCACCACCTACAGCAGCGGGGAGAACTACGACCGCAAGATCGTAAGATGTGCTTTTAGTGTTTTACATTACAACATTTAGTGTTGACATTACATCAGTGCAGTGTCCTGGATCCCAGAACAGATTCGGCTTGATAAACAAACATAAACAATCCTCACGCGACAAACCAGTGCCTCCTGAATGATTCGGTGTTAAACATGCACTAGAATATTCATAACTATTCTTAATACAAGTGGACATAGTTATGGAGAATGTTCTTCATTATTGACAACTGCATGATAACTGTCAAACTGTGCTGAAACCTGCACAAAAGGTTTATTAAAGAACAAACACTGTTGACGTTTAGCTTCTCACTTCATTTTTTTATTTATTTTTTATTAAATATAATCTAAAGCTTGTCTGATTCATCAGCTGGTTTCACTTCATAGAAACCGTCTGGCCTCTCAGAGTTAGAATTCATTCGCTCGACAGTAGGCGAGTACTTTTTTTATTTAACCAATCGCTACTATTTGGTCGTGATGTATGTAATGCGTCGCTAACGGGACAAACTGGTATATTAAACTTTTCCCAAATCCCATAGGAAGAAGGACAATAACATCTTTCCCCTCGATAAAATTCACCAAACATTCTCTTTGTTCCGGCTTTAAATCCTCGACCTCGGGAATCGTTGCCAACACAGAATCTCTGTCTCTTCGCTGATTGGCTGGTGCCCGAACTCGCACTTCCAGGGTTTTTGCGAACCCTCTAGTGTATTTTGATTCCTGACCTAGTCGCTGGAGAGAAATGAAAATGAGCAGAGGCACTAGGTGGCACCAGCCTGGCTAATCTAAAGCTACATGCCATACAAATTGTTTTTAAGATGGACTTTTTAAATCCTGTAAACGGAATGAACCAGTCTCTTCTGTACAAGGAAACACCTGTGTAGATCATCTCAGATTTACTAGTGTCACAGTAAAATCACCGGAGCAGCTTCACCTGACAGTCCTCTCTGATGTTTAGTTGCAGAGGTGGACGTCTTTGTTTTTAGAGCGTGGCCCTGGAGCCTCGTTTTCTCTCTCAGTTTTGCTAAATTCTCCATGGTGATACGACAAACTCCTCAGTCTGTCCGAGCCTCGTCCATCTAAATGTCTGATCGAACCTCTCCCCGTGGACTTAAACTGTTTCAGACGACCTGCGTTTGTGTCCATAATCCTCCTCACGCTCTCCTCCCTCCTCTCACTCTCTCACTCTCACTCCCTTCTCTTTCCCTCTTACTCTCTCTCTTTAACTCTCTCCATCCCCCACTCTCTCCTCTTTCCTCCTTCTCTACCTCCCCCCTTTCTCTCCCTCTCTCTTCCCCCCCTTCCTCTCCTTCCCTCCCCCTCTCTCGTCCTCCCTCTTTCTCTTGTTCCTCAGGGGAGTCAGACGGGAAGTGCTCCAAGCTCTTCTTGGCTCGGTGTCAGTCAATCTGTCTGAGGCACTTTGTCTACACGCTCAGACTCACCGCTCCGGCTGCACGTCTGCCCCGCCGCTCCTCGTCCTCTGTCACCATTCACTCCGCAATTAAGACCAAATAAATAACGCGTATCTTGCTTTCTATAGTCGTGAGATTTGATTTGGGGAATTTATGTTTTTAAAATCAGAGTGCAGATTCCAACACATCCAGGTGCCTTCATGTTTGGGAAGAAAAACAGAAATACAGTTTGCCAAAAGAATCTCTTTAGATTATTGAACATGTTTGAAGAGATCCAAACTTGAGGCCTGTTTACACGAGAACGCTCACGGGTAACAACTAGGGATGGGCATTCGATTCATTTTTCTTAATCGATCGTTGGAAAAATTAACGTTCGATTTTCGATTAATCATCAACGTTTTTATATTAAAATTATCATCGTTATTATTACTATCTGCACTACTAATCTGCAGAAATAAATTCAACTTTACGACATATTAAACCATAACCACTCTAGAGCCACATCAGCCCGTTTGAGATTAGAAAGTGTTTAAAGCAGCTTTGTGCAACTCTCACAGAAACAAAACTTAAAACGTCATGGCTAATTTGCATAAACTAAGTGAAGAAAAAAACAGCTCTTGTGCGCTGATGTGGTTCAAGTTCTGTCGGACTAAAGGACACGACTCGGTAGAATACGCTGACGCACAGCAACCTACATTCGGTTTGTCAATTAAAAAGGAACGTAATCGATGAAATTCTTAATGATCAATTATCGATTAATCGACTAATCATGCCCATTCCTAGTAATAACGACAAAATATTTTATGAGAAGTGCCTTTTTTTTAGACGGTGACGGTGTTTTTGGGGCTTAAAAACGCAAAAATCTGAAACCACCCTCCAGAGTGAAAAAGTTGAACACTCTCCACTAGGGCTGGGTGACAAGGAGCAAAAATATATATTGATATATTTTGTTATAGCTCGATATCTGTACAGGAAAAAATAACCCCCCAAAAACTACTGCAAAAACAAATATGCCAAATTCCACAAGGTCTTTTTTTTTGAAGTGCAAGAGGTGGGCAGTTCATGTAGGAACAAAGTGCTTCTGCCACATTTAAGATGACGAAAAATCCCATATTACATAAATAATAATTTAACTGTAAAATAAAAGCCGCACACAGAGAAAGCAAACGAGCAAAGCGGCGAAATCAGAACTGAATATAAGCAAACATAATATTGGTATATATATATACGATATGTGAGAATCCATATCAAGTTTAAAAAATATCTCGATATATTTAAAATATCGAGATATCGCCCACTCCTACACTTCGCCGTAGTGTTTCCATCCACACTGCCCAAGACGCAAAACTCTGGTTAGATCTGCTCACGTCGCGTACACGTTTATGTCACATACATACAGGACACAGAAACCTGGCGTGCAAACACACTCATTGAAACGCGGGATACAAACTGAAGACGCGATGCCACTTTTGCGTCTTCTGTTCAGACCGTCGTCATATAAACGTAGTCTGAAGCTTTAAGACGACTCGTGGAAATGTGATGTTTGTTATGAAGCTGAGTGTTCTCTTGTTTTGCAGATCACGACGGACCTGAGGCACAGATGCACAGACAGTCACACCGGGACGTCCGCCTCTGCTCCTATGGCCGCCGCAATCATCGCTCTTGCTCTGGAGGCAAAGTAAGATCTGACTCCACTTTTACTCTGCTCCACCTTATGACTTTTAATAATGTCTTATCATTTGTGTTTTTTATTTATTGCTGCAGCTGCTGTTATTTGACCTTAGCACTAGAGTCCAAATGGTTATCTAGAGTTAAATAGAGCTTTATTTTATATTTCTATTGTATTTTATATGTACGGTATTTTCCGGACTATAAGTCGCACCAGCCAATAAATGCGCAATGAAGAAGAAAAAAACATTTACAAGTCGCACCGGACTATAAGTCGCACTTTTTGGGGAAATGTATTTTATAAAATCAACATTTCATCTTGAAAGTCAAGTTATAGTAATAAAACAGAACAGAGAACAACAGGCTGAATAGGGGTTAATATGTTAACATAACATATTAAGTTATTCAGATAATTTTAGCATAAACAACATAAGTTTACCAAACTCACAATCTCACTCCAAATCACTAAATCCATTGAATTCTTCGTCCTCGGTGTCACTTCTGCACCATAGAACCATAGATCCATGAGGTAAACAGAGCGCCGCTTCCTCTTCTGTGTCGCTGTCGTCAGATTCAGCATCAGTTCCAGTTAGAATTATTTCAGCCTTTCTGAATCCCGACAGGATGGTTTCGATTGTCATTGAAGTTCAGGCTTTGTCGAATCATCCAGTGACTTCCAGGAAAGTTTCATGGTGCACTTGCCCGGTTGCCATGAAACTGTGTTCTCCATTCTCGCTTTTCCATCAGCCCCTCACAAGCTTCTCACTCACTCCAAACTTTCTTTCTGCTGCTCGATTACTGTTTTCGGCTGAATATTTCACTATTTGCTGCAGGACAGTGACTTTTTGTACAAGAGACATGCGCAGTAGAGTGTGAAACGACAATAGTACAGGAGTAATAGTACTGCTAGATACTGACACACAAGACTAGAACCTCTCGTGGCTTCAGTCTGAAAATTTTAATATATAAGTCGCACCTGAGTACAAGTCACAGGAAACACCTCAAACCATGAAAAAAAGTGCGACTTATAGTCCAAAAAATACAGTATATTACGCAGCACTTTACTGTCCATGTTTATGTAATGTGCTTTATAAATGCACTGGACTGGATTGCTGCAGGGCCTTGAGCGCTGAGCACCAAGACCTGGACCTAAGTGGACAGTATGTAGTCTACAGTCTACAGTCTACATCAGTGGCGCATGAAGATGGGCTCATGGGCCAAACACTGTCTTCCAGGGGAATGGATATATTTTTGCCCACAAAGGGTGCTGAAATTTGTAAGAAATATCTACGTGGAATGATTTTTTTTATTAAGTTCCGATCGGTTTTGACACACTTTGACATTAAACAATCAAACTGACTCGCTGCTGGTCGTAGGTTTAGTCGAACTGAAGCCTGAGCGTTCGTGAATCTCACTACAACAACAAACCATGCGTGTTCAGGACCGTCTGCTCGCACTGGGACATGTGTGGGCTGTGCTCAGGTCATGGGGTCAGCTGAGGTCAGCAGAGGTCAGACCACAGGAAACACGTCCAGCTTTAAGCTTTTTACTCTGTAGAAAAACACATGAACAATATGAGCAAATTTGCCGTGTTTGCAGAGATGCATTTAAAATGAAAAAATGATCAGATATGGATTTAGGGCAGAGGTCTCCACCTTTTTCTCCAGTGAGCTTCCTTTACGAACCAAAAATGCCAGAGAGCTACCAATGTTAGCAGTTGCAAAGAAATATAACAGTAAATCTAAGAGTAAATATAAGAGCCACGGTGAGTCAGATGGGGAACAGTTAGATGTTTATAAAGCATAAACCATTATCCATTTATCAGTGCAAGTTAGGCATCAAAATTATGTATTTACAATTAATTAATCAGTAATTGATCAAAATTGACTTATTATCCACAATACATAGAATTCAGAAATCCCTTGGTGAGCTGCTTGGTAGGACCCGACCGGTGTTTTGGTTTGCCGATATTATCAACCGATATGGGCTCCTGGAAACATATCGGCGATCGGCCTAAATCTTGTCGATATTTCACGTGGGCATGTTATACCTCATTATAAAGCTTAGACTCTCTACATTATGTTCATTTAATTCAATTTACTGACAGATAAATGTCCTAATATGTGGCTCCACATCAGTATTTATCTGTGGTGTTATTTGTCTGTGTGTGTGTCCTACTGTCCCTGAACACACCACAGAGTCACGTGCTCTTGTTTACACTCGCAGACACAGATCCAAACACTGAGATTAGATTCTTTTTACGAACAATCGGTTTGAGTCTGGATTAAAAGGACATTTATTAGTGCAGACTTGTGATGTGAGGAGGAGCCTGTGTGAGCGGTGAGTGTTGGAAATGTGTCGGTTTTGAAGCTGGTTTTTGTTCTTTCTCATTGTTTAGCTGCTGTAGCTCCCGCACATAAACAGACTGTTTTCTATTGGTCTATTGTAAAGTGACTATATTGGCCGTATATTTGTTACTGGACCTGCGTTGATATGCAAATGACCTGTGAATAGAGATGTGAATGATCGACATTTACACATGTAATTAATCACCGCGACGCGCAGCATTTACATCTAAAGGCTAATAGTGGTAGTTGACTTTCTTTACTCGCTAGAATGTGATGCAAAAATGCCATTAGGCCGACCTACTGTCTGTAAATACGACGTAAAAAGGCAGAATAACAATAAATGTTGCCTAAATAAACCCAATTTAAAATCCACTAGAGCCAAACCTAATTTTTTTTTAACAATTCAAAGTTTACAGTGAATTTTTAAATCACTAAATATATCGGTGATTATAACGGCTATCGGCAGCTTCAACTCCCATTTTATCAGTATCATATCGGCCGCAATAAAATCCATATCAGTTGGGCTCTACTACTTGGAAGGGGGTGGAGAGATACAGGTTGGAGATCCCTGATTTAGGGAGAATAGAGTGCTGTGTTGTGGTTTATAGTAAATAATGTAAGCGTTTTGTAACTGTGAGTTCACGTTTATAGCTAAAAGGTGAGTGGGTTCATGCCCTCTAGTTCCTCTGGTTCCTCGGTTCAGCGTCTGCCTCCTGTAATGTCAGCAGCATGAAAGCGGCCGCTCGGTTAAACTGTACTTTTAGTCCGAGTGAGTGTCTCAGAGGACAGAGGTTTGTGAGTCGTGGCGCAGGCTTCAGAGCTGCTCCTTCTCTCAGGTCAGTGTGTTTAACCTGATAATCCACTCCAAATCCTTCACACCAGAATGTTCAGTGTCACCGGGCAGAGGCTGCGCATAAGCCTGTTTCCTCCTCTGGATTATCACACTGCTCGTGGTCAGCATGTTACCGCGCTGCACACTAACAGCACGGCTCTGGTGTTGTGAAAAGTTATGTAAAGTCGTGAAAAGAGCTTAATAATTTATGCACAAAGTAAGTGAGGAATAAGCTTGGACCCACTGCAAGATGTTAAAAATGAGCTTGTTCTGTTTTTCCATGTTTTAATTTAATTACATTTTCTTGTTTCCATGTTTGATTTTCTTTTTTTCCGAGGATGAACTATAGAAGTTGTAGGCGAAAAGCCGAGGGAGGCATTTCAGGGAGGTTTAGAGTTTTGTTTTGAACCTCAGACACTTCAATCATTCGTTAAGAACTCGAGGAAATATCTCTCCAAACAATTCCAATAATCACAACCACATTACTGGGATTAATCCGAAGTAGTCAGAGCTCCTCCACACGAGATGCCAGCGTCTCGAGTCTTTAATTAGGTCCGTTTGGGGCTGTTTGCAGTCCTACTGTACGTGCACAGCTGGGTGGGTGGTGGAGCCTGGAGCATCTGGTGGGCAGATGAGAGAGAAGGGAGTCCCAGGAAACACTCTGACCCACTTCCTGTTTGAGAGCGGCTCCTCAGATCAAAGGGACGCGGACATCCCATAATGCCTCTGACATCCCATAATGCCTTTCACGTGAGCGCTCACACCGGGGGCACTTTACGCTGTTACCGCTGAATCGGCTCTTTCAAACCTCTTCCATAACCTCCCTTTGTGACCACGGGCTTTTCATTTTATGTGGAGCTGTAGATTATTATGTGGCTCTGAACAGACTCGATGCCTCTGAGCCACCAGATCTGGCTCCGGAGCGGGAGTCTGCATGTTCTCCTCGCGTTTCAGTGGTTAAATCAAGGTCCAGTTTAAATACAAAGATAACTATATTTAAGAAACGGGAATAGGACGAGCGCTCCAGACACTAGATCTTGCAAGAGAATTTTTTCCGTGTGTTTACATTTGGTGTGAACAAAAAGGAGGTTAAGTACTGGTGAGTTACGGCTCTTCAGAGGCTGTAGTTCAATTGCAATGACAACAAAAATATATTTTTTTAATTAATTAAACTGTGTGGCCAAAATTGTCAACAGGATTACGCAATTTACTTCAGTCCAGTCCATCTTTAGTTGTATAGCACATTTTATAAACAATACTGTTTCCAAAGTGCTTCACAAACCAATCTAAAACGTTTTAGTTAAAAAAATAAGAATAAAAAAAAAGTAGAATTATGTTTCAACCAAGAGGAAACTAATAGAATCAATAAATAAAATTATAATAATAAAATCAATGAACAAAAATAATAAAACCAATACATAAAAGTAGTACCAAAAATAAAAGAGATAAAAACAATAAATAAATTAAATCATTATATAAATATATAAAATATAAAATAATATAAAATATAAAATAAAATATAAAATATATATATAATAGATCGTATTGTTTAATGTAATGATGCAGTATCGATATCGTGGGCTGCTGTATCGATATATCATAGTATAGTATAGTATAGATAGAGCATTTTTTGGTATGTTTTACTAAATTATTTTGTTACAGCTACAGTTTTGTTGCTTGTTTAGAGGAAGGAAACTCATTTGTGCAACACATTTGACATTTTCACGATTTTGCTGATTAAAATGTTTGTGTTTCATATGAACTTTGCACAAGAAGTGGTTTAACAAAGACTTTTAGTGTCACAGCCATGATTGAATCATATCAAATCAAAAGTGCACTGTATCAAACATATGTATTGTATCGAGGTATGTATCGTATCGGCAACTTCTTAATGATACCCAGCAGGGTTGGGCTTTAATACGGTATTACGTTGTACCGTATTAACAGTATCAGTTTCATTACCGTCATAAAAAAAAAATCTGCAGCACATAAAGACCTAATATAATATTATAATTTACTGATATATAAATTGGTTGTATTTTCAATTTAATGCGATCATGATTTAAATCTAATAGTGTCTATAATGTTTCTTGGGGAGATGACGTTCGATTAGTTTCATTCCACTGTCACGTGACGCTCATAAGGGAGACCAAAACAAAACGACAAGTCCGAACTGTAAGAGAGTTGGTCCCCCCCAAAAATACTAGTACTTCTGCAATTTGGCAGCATTTTGGCTTCAGGCGCACATTTCTTTGTTTTACAGAAATGAAACTTAAAACCGCATGGCTAATTTGCATGAACTGTAAGACACAGTGTAACTGTAAAAACAGCTCACTTCTTGTGCTGCTGATGCGGTTCAACTTTTGTCGGACTAAAGCACACGACTCAGTGGAATATATGTTTTTTTTCTGCGACAGAGGATGTTGTGGCTGACGGTGAGTCCGTTCTGTGCGTGTGTCGTGTTGGAGACAGTTCGTGTTTTAACTTTACAGAAATTATGGACCTGGCTCCACTGCATGTGCGTATTTCACCCTACGAAATACGTGACCCAACCCTAATACCAGCCCTACTGACGATGGGACAAGTCCATGCAATTAAATTTTATTTATTCAACGCCTTTATAAACAAAGTTATAACATTTTCTACTCATGTAAACAAAAATAAAATATGATATAATGAAAATGATAACAATAAAATCCAATATTGAATCCAAACTATTCAGTCATCTAACGTAGGTATTCTGCCGCAAAACTTCTGCCTCGGGAGCTCAAATCGACGAGTAGGCCTTTTCGACAGGATACTTTATCATCGAGATCGACCAAAGATCTTACGAATCTGGAATTTCCTGGATGGGCGCGGATCAGTGCAACCCTACTGACAAGAACATTTATTACCACTAACACAGGGTCTGTTGTACCGCATGACCTGTGTCCATCTTTGAGCTGTGGTGTTTTTTTTGTTCTGACTTTGGCTCTGGTAGAAAAGCAGTTTATGAAACGCATTATCGCTGTAGTCAGTTTTATCTCTGTAACATAAACGTGATGAAGTGTGTTTCCTGCAGCCCTCTTCTGACCTGGAGAGACGTGCAGCACATCATCGTAAAGACGTCCAGAGCGGGACACTTGAGCGCCCCCGACTGGAAGACCAACGCCGCAGGATACAACGGTACAAACAGACACACATGTCACACAAAACTCACAAAACCACTCGGTACAGACGCCCATGCTGACACAAAATAATATCTTTTGGCTTAATCTCAGTCACAATATTTAGACAATTGATACTTTGCAGATGTCCTCAACATTCTCTGGGGGCGTGACGTTAATTACAGGCACTTCTCTGTCTGATCTGAAGACCTTTTGGACTATAATCGGATCTTTATGGTCAGATTGTGTTAAAATAAAGACCTGACTTTCAGACTGCAGCCTGAAGTGACCCAAATCTGATTTTTTTCGTTCTATGTGACCCGTATCTGATCTTTTAGGCTACGTTTTTATGATGACAGTTTGAACAGAAGACGCGAAAGTTGGCGTCGCGTCTTCGCTTTTTGTTCTGTGCTTAGACGAGTGTTTTCGAGAAGAAATCTGCGTGCATACGGTGACGCAAAAGTGTGTGGAATTCGATTTGGTATGTATGCCAGGCGGCTCAGTGGTGACGTATGTGACGTAAACGTGTACGAACGTATTAAACTTTTCCACTCTGGAGGGTGGTTTCAGATTTGTGCGTTTTTAAGCCACAAAAACGCCGTCACCGTCTAAACGAAAGGCACTTCTAATAAAATTTTTTTGTCGTTTTTACCCGCAGGCGTTCTTGTGTAAACAGGCTCTAAGGCTACGTTCAGTCTGCAGCCTGAAGTGACCCAAATCCGATTTTTTGGCCTCTATGTGACCTGTATCTGATCTTTTAATGACAGTCTGAACGACACAGATCCAATTTTTCCAAATACGACCCAGGTCACTTGGATATGTGCTCCTGAAACCGATACATATCTGATCTTTTGACATGCGACTTCAGTGTGAACAGTCAAAGTGCATTCATCCACCTACACGTTATCAACAAGACACAAACGTCACTATTCTGCGCTGAAGTAGGTGAAAACTGTTAATGAACTCCGTGTGACTGAAGTGAAGCACATCACCACTCACCACTCTTGGCTCCGTCTCCACATCCACACGTTCCTTTCAACAGACTGAACCTCAAAACACCACGACCAAAAACCTCATCCTTCTCCTTCTCAATCTCCTCCTTAAAACAAGTAAGTTGTTCATGTTCTGGCTCCGGTACGAGAGGAACTTTAAAATCTCCAGGTGCTCAATGCTCACGTCCATGTTTGGACAACTTCCGTAAACACAGAGACGCTCGCTGCGGTTGACGTCGTCGTGTCTCCAGTGCACATGTGGGACACTTTCGGGCCGTTTACTGTTCACACTGGAGTCACATACAAGTCACATTTAACTGGAAATGTGAACGACCTCGCAAAAACATCGGATTTCACAAAAAAATCGGAATTGAGCGTTAAGCCCTGCAGTCTGAACGTAGCCTTAATGAATGACACAGATCCGATTTTTTTCAAATGTGACTCAGACCACTTGGATATGTGCTCCTAAAACCGATAAATATCTGATTTTTGGCTTCAACTTCAGTCTGAACGGACAGGTCACATTCATCCCACCTACACGTCAGGCTCAGAGTCTAATCACTGGAGGGAAAGCGAGGTTAGCGAGTTTATTAATATTTGGGAGGATCACTGTGTTCAGGACAAATTGGAGGAGTCTTATCGGAACCGGGCGGGTTTTGAAATGACTGCCAAAGAAATGCAGACGGTCCTGGCTCCAGTGTCAGTGAAAATAAAGAGCCTGCGAGACAAATACAAGGAGGCTAAACGAACGAAGAGGCCATGGACGTGTAACCTGTCCATTTTGCCAAGAACTGGACCGTATTTTGGGAGACAAGCTCAGCGTTTAGGCGACTTCCCTAAACACTGAGCACGTTTGCTGTGTGTGGTGTCGTTGTGTCTTCTGATGCGCATGTGGGACACTTTTGGGGTGTTTAAAGTTCACACTGGAGATCACATACAAGTTGCATTTAATGTGAACGACCTCGCAAAAAAATAAGATTTCACCAAAAAATTTATATTAATTGAACATTAAGCCCTGCAGTCTGAACGTCGCCTTAAGTTGGAACCTACAACAGTTTTTACATTTCAGTTCGTCACACGCAATTTTTTTGTTGAATTTTGAGTTTTTGTCTTGCTTTTTAGACAATCTTAAAACATTTGTGGTAGTTATTGCTACTGTGTGCATTGTGTCACCATGGGAACTGCTTACCATTCCACTATAGAGACACATGTAGGACCCCCCCAGCGAGATGTCACTGCAAAGTATCAGTGTTGATGCATCAGGAAAGTGCTAAAAGTGCTAAAATGTGACTGTAAATGTCTACTCAGTGCGGTGTCAGGGGCAAGGGGCATTTGACTGCACGAGCTTTTATAGTTCATGGAAGATTTCTTGGTTATTCTAACACATTTTTACACATTTTTGCACATATGTATTTCCTTTAGTGAAACATGTGACCTTGTTTCTCACTACATGTCATGCTTAAATACAGGATCTTCCTCTAACTGTACTCAAAACCGACTCTTGTGACTCTTGTGAGCTTAGTTATAATGTTGTTACCTCCTCAAAAACACACACGGAGTTGTTTTGTTTCACGTTTGTTTGAGTAACTCTTTATTATGAGTCTGTCTGCATCTCCAAAGCTCAAGATGCTCTGTTCCACTGTGTGATGTCATGTCGTTTTTTCAGTAGAGATTGGAAATTCCAGGGTTCAAATCATCCATATGATTCTAGTGAAGATGTGTGGAGTTTAAAAACACAGTGGAGCACCTCCCGTATTACCACATGACATCATAAGGTGAAGGTGGGAGTGTTTTCAGTTTGAAGGAAGAGCTTGGCGTAAATCTGCAGGGTTTGTGCGTTAAACATGGGAATGAAACAAAACACAACTCCGGGTCTGTTTGTGATGAGGAAACAACATTATAACAGAGATCAGAAAATGACCCGATGTGGTTCTTTAACGGGAAGAAAGAAACGGACTTGGAGTCGCAGAGAGCAGAGAGTCCAGACTGGGTTTGGTCAGACATGGACCTGAGCAGCTGCTGTGTGTCAGAGTGTTTCATAACGTGTGCGGCTGCTGCTGCTGCTGCTGCTGCAAACCTGCGAGTGAGGGTCAGCCAGTCTCCTCCAAACACAGACACGGAGGAGAGGGAGGGAGAGAAGGAGGGAGAGAAGGACGAGGAGAGAGAAACAGGGGAGAGAAAGGGACGAGGAGAGAGGGGATTGAAGAGCGGCGGGAGGGAGAGGGGAGAGGGACAGGGAGGAGGACGGAGAGAGAGGAGGGACAGAGAGAGAGGGGAGAGAGGAGAGAGGGAGAGAGAGAGAGGGACGGGAGGGGGACAGAGAGAGAGAGAGAAGGAGAGGATGAGGGAAAGAGAGAGAGATGGAGAGAGAGGGACAGAGAGAGAGATGGAAGGAGAGGGGGTGAGGGAAAGAGAGACGGACGGGAGAGACAGGGGAGAGAGAAAGAAAGAGAGAGTGAGTAAGTAAGTCAGTCTTTAGGGAAAGAGAGGGACAGGAGGGGCGGGGGGGACAGAGAGAGAGAGAGACAAAAGGAGAGAGATGAGGGAAAGAGAGAGGAAAGAGAGATGAGCTATAGAAGGAGAGGGGTGAGGGAAAGAGAGAGAGAGAGGAGGAGAGAGAGAGAGAGAGACGGTCGAGGGGGGAGAGACAGAAGGACGGAAAAGGGATGGGATAGAGAGAGCGAGGGGGATGGGAGAGAAGAGGACAGGAGAGAGACAGAGAGGGACGCAGGAGAGACAGGGATGAGAGGAGAGAGAGGAACAGGGAGAAGAGAGAGAGAGAGAGGGATGGGGGAGACAGATGGAGAGACCACATCTGCCCTGGCACTGTAAAAGTATCTGCCAACAGCCTCTCCATCCGCCTCTTAACCCTCACTCACCACACAGACTCTTTGCCCAACGGCACAACTGTACACAGCTGGAATTGAACAGATTAGTGGATGAATCCTCCTCTGAGCCTCTGCCACCCCCTGCTGTGTTTCATATTGTCCGTAATCTTGAAATGTTGAGATGTTTTGCTGTTGTGTGCTGCAGTGAGTCACCTGTACGGCTTCGGCCTGATGGACGCGGAGGCCATGGTGAAGGAGGCGGAGCGGTGGAAGCAGGTCCCGGCGCAGCACGTGTGTGTGGAGAGCGCGGACAGACAGATGAAGTATGCACCTTTCTCTTTCAGTCTCTCTGAACAGTGTCAGCAGTGTTGGGAAGGTGACTTTTAAAATGCTTTCCCCTACAGATTACAGATTACAGATTACATACACCAAAATGTAGTTTGTAACATAATCCATTAAATTACTTAAAATCTTAATCTGAATACTTTGGATTACTTGATATTGTCTTGCTTTTAAAACTACATGAACGTAGCGACCACATCCTGAAAATTCCTGTTTGTTCTCTTCAAATTGTTCTCTTCAAAGTCTCCATGAATAAGAAACTGTTTTGTGTAGAGAAGCAAAGACGAGGATCTTAACATAAAATGTTTTGTCTGCGTAAAGACAATAACAAGCTCAGTCTTTCATTAACCATATTAAAAATATTATTGATAGAGAAATGATTTTTATATGAGATCATCTTAGATTATGTCCACCTACTGTTAGGTGTCATATTATTTAGTCCTGGTGTTAGTTCTGGTGTTAGTCCTGGTTTAGTCCTGGTTTAGTCCTGGTGTTAGTTCTGGTGTTAGTTCTGGTTTAGAGGCGCACAGGAGGAATCGCGAGAAAATTCGGTCGACATGCGGCGCACGGGAGGACGGCGGTGTCCGCGCAGTACAGAAAGAGTTTATGTAGTTCTCTCTGTCTTTTTTTAAGCTGTTGCTGCACCATAACTCTTAATTTAAGCAAAGAGACTTGAAATTTGATAAATTGTGAGGCTCCACAGTATAATTGTGAGAAATTTGACGATATGATATCACGATATTTCAGATATTGTTACATCCCTAGTATCCTGGATTCTCATATCCGGGACACAGCCTTATTCGGGATAATGAAACCGGGATAGTGCGTTTACATGCACCACGACGAAACCAGGATACTCTAAAAACCATAATAAGCGGGATACTGATGTGCATGTAAACGCTTTCAGTGTGAAGAGTATTGTGTTACGCCTGTGTGCTCGTCTAATCATGACTATTGTGCAAAATGACAGGCTGTGTTTCCATTATGTCAGAAAATGATCCTAAATATTATTCTTCTAACCTGTCATATACACTTTAAAACTACTAAAGGGACTAGATAATGTTCAGGCCTGTCTCACTGTAAAGCCTGTTCCTTTGGTGAAATGTGCCTCTGTGTTTGTGAGAGCAGTTGTGCAAGCTGCACCGTGACACAGGCCAAGCATTAGTTCTGGCACAGTGCTTCTCACAGCCGCAGCTTGTTGTTGTGGTGCAGCTGGAGCGGTGTGCAGGGCCCTGGCTCTGGTGCAGCTGGAGCAGTGTGCAGGACCCTGGCTCCGCTCCGCTCTGCTCTGCTCTCCGGCCTCATCAGTCTGTGCAGCTCCATGTGACCGATGTCTGGAGGATGTGCTGCACGGCTTACAGCTCACAACTAACTACAACTACAACTACAACACCTACACTACACACCGACTACACGACTACAACTACAACACCGACTACAACTACAACACCACTACCACACACACCAACTACAACTACAACACCGACTACACAACTACGACAACAACACCGACTACGACTACAACACCGACTACGACTACAACACCGACTACTACGACTACAACTACACACCGACTACAACTACAACACCGACTACAACTACAACACCGACTACACTACACCGACTACAACAACACCGACTACAACTACAACACCGACTACAACTACTACAACTACACACCGACTACGACTACAACACGACTACAACTACAACACGACTACAACTACAACACGACTACAACTACAACACCGACTACAACTACAACACCGACTACAACTACGACTACAACACAACACCGACTACACTAACACCGACTACAACTACAACACGACTACACGACTACAACTACAAACACCGACTACAACTACAACACCGACTACAACTACAACACCGACTACAACTACAACACCGACTACAACTAACAAACACCGACTACAAACTACAACACCGACTACAACTACAACACCGAACTACACAACTACCGACACAACTACAACTACAACACCGACTACAACACCGACTACAACACCGACTACAACTACAACACCACCGACTACACACTACACACTACAACACCGACTACAACACCGACTACACTACAACACCGACAACTACAACTACAACACCGACACTACAACTACAACTACACCGACTACACCGACTACAACTACACACGACTACACGACTACAACACCGACTACAACTACAACACACGACTACAACTACAACACCGACTACAACTACAACACGACTACAACACCGACTACAACACACTACAACACCGAACACTACAACACCGACTACAACTACAACACCGACTACAACTACAACACCGACTACACCGACTACAACACCGACTACAACTACAACTACAACACGACTACAACTACAACACTGACTACAACTACAACACCGACTACAACTACGCTACAACACCGACTACAACTCACAACACCGACTACAACACCGACTACAACACCGACTACAACTACAACACCGACTACAACTACAACACCGACTACAACTACAACGACTACAACTACAACTACAACTACAACACCGACTACAACTACACAACACCGACTACAACTACAACTACAACTACAACTACAACACCGACTACAACTTACAACACCGACGACTACAACTACAACACCGACTACAACTACAACTACAACTACAACACGCGACTACAACTACAACACCGACTACACAACTACAACACACGACTACAACACGACTACACTACAACTACAACACCGACTACAACCACAACACCGACTACAACACCGACTACAACACCGACTACAACTACAACACCGACTACAACACTGACTACAACTACAACACTGACTACAACTACAACACTGACTACAACTACAACACCGACTACAACTACACAACACTGACTACAACTACAACACCGACTACAACTACAACAACACCGACTACAACTACAACACCGACTACAACTACAACACCGACTACAACTACAACTACAACAACTACAACACCGACTACACCGACTACAACACCGACTACACCGACTACAACACCGACTACAACTACAACTACAACACTGACTACAACTACAACACCGACTACAACTACAACACCGACTACAACTACAACACCGACTACAACTACAACACCGACTACAACTACAACTACAACACACTGACTACAACTACAACACCGACTACAACTACAACACCGACTACAACACGACTACAACTACAACACCGACTACAACTACAACACCGACTACAACTACAACAACACGACTACAACACCGACTACAACTACAACACCGACTACAACTACAACACCGACTACAACTACAACTACACCACGACTACAACTACAACACGACTACAAACTACAACACCGACTACAACTACAACACTGACTACAACTACAACAACACGACTACAACTACAACACCGACTACAACTACTACAACACCGACTACAACTACAACACCGACTACAACTACAACACCAACTACAACACCGACTACAACTACAACACCGACTACAACTACAACACCGACTACAACTACAACTACAACACCGACTACAACTACAACACCGACTACAACTACAACACCGACTACAACTACAACACCGACTACAACTACAACACCGACTACGACTACAACACCGACTACAACTACAACAACACGACTACAACTACAACACCGACTACAACACACACGACTACAACTACAACACGACTACAACACCGACTACAACACCGACTACAACACCGACTACCGACTACAACAACAACACCGACTACAACTACAACACCGACTACACAACACAACACCGACTACAACTACAAACACCGACTACAAACCGACTACAACTACAACACACCGACTACAACTACAACACCGACTACAACTCACAACTACAACTACAACACCGACTACAACTACAACACCGACTACAACTACAACACCGACTACAACTACACGACTACAACTACAACACCGACTACAACTACAACACCGACTACAACTACAACACCGACTACAACTACAACACGACTACAACTACAACTACAACACCGACTACAACTACAACACCGACACAACTACAACACCGACTACAACTACAACACGACTACAACACCGACTACACACCGACTACAACACCGACTACAACTACACACACTACGACTACAACACGACTACAACACCGACTACACACCAACACGACTACAACACCGACGACTACAACAACACCGACTACAACACCGACTACAACTACAACACCGACTACAACACCGACTACCGACTACAAACCGACTACAACTACAACAACTACAACTACAACACCGACTACAACTACAACACCGACTACAACTACAACACCGACTACAACTACAACACCGCAACTACAACTACAACTACAACACCGACTACAACACCGACTACAACTACAACACCGACTACAACTACAACACCGACTACAACTACAACACCGACTACAACTACAACTACAACACCGACTACAACTACAACACCGACTACAACTACAACACCGACTACAAACACCGACTACAACACCGACTACAACACCGACTACAACTACAACACCGACTACAACTACAACACCGACTACAACTACAACACCGACTACAACACCGACTACAACACCGACTACAACTACAACACCGACTACAACTACAACACCGACTACACTACAACACGACTACACAACTACAAACCGACTACAACACACACGACTACAACAAACTACAACACCAACTACAACTACAACACCGACTACAACTACAACACCGACTACAACTACAACACCGACTACAACTACAACACCGACTACAACTACAACACGACTTACAACACCGACTCACGACTACAACACCGACTACAACTACAACACCACAACTAACAGACTACAACACCGACTACAGACTACAACTACAACGACTACAACAACATCAACTGTACAAATAGTTGTTAAACTACAAGTAGTAGTTGTAAGTAGTGTAGTAGTGTAGTTGTAGTAGTAGTAGTAGTAGTTGTCGTTGTAGTTGTAGTAGTTGTAGTTGTGTAGTTGTAGTAGTTGTAGTAGTAGTAGTTAGTATTGTTGTTAGTAGTAGTTGTTGTAGTAGTAGTAGTAGTAGTAGTAGTAGTTGTAGTAGTTGTTGTAGTTGTAGTAGTAGTTGTTGTTGTAGTAGTTGTGTAGTAGTTGTTGTAGTTGTAGTTAGTAGTTTGTTGTAGTTAGTTGTAGTAGTGTAGCAGTAGTAGTTGTAGTTGTAGTAGCAGTAGTAGTTGTTGTAGTTGTAGTTAATGAATAAACAAATAAACTAAAACTAAACTAAAAAGAAAACCTATTTTTCATGTGTCTGTTATATAGATATAACCTACACAGTAAAAACTGGAGGGTTAAAATTTCAGGGTTAAAATTGTTTAGTTGAGTTGGTTTTAACACAAAAAGTGTTATTTTAACAATTTTAAAGTTAAATGGGGGTTCGAGTTGGGGTTATTTGTCAAAGTTGATATGGTTGAAGTGAATTCAACTTCCCCTAGTGTTAACTCAACTTCCCCTAGTGTTAACTCAACTTCCCCTAGTGTTAATTAAACTTCCCTCAGTGTTAATTTAGCACTTCTCACCCACCACTTCAAACTCCCATGAGAGAAGACCAGTTTGAACCAGTTTTGTACAGAATTTCATCAAGTGTAAAAAATAAAACTCCTCTGTGTGTTGTTCAGCTAAATCAGGATAACGCTACAAAGTGTTATCTGTTTACTCTCAAAACATTAATATAACTCTTGATTTCAGGGTTAAACAGGAACTTTGGTCTAGTGTTATTTAATTAACTTTTCCAAAAAGTTAAATTAACTCTAGAACAGATTGGAATTATACAAACCTGAGAAAATGTTAAAATTGATTCTGTGAAAGTCAATTTTAACACTCCACTTTCTTGCTGTGTATGACGCTCGTGGATCGTTATAAGTTTCATATAATTTTGCGTTATAATTTGCTCATCTAAAATTTAATAAACAACACCAGTCCATTGACTTCCATTTTCAGAAAACTGCAGTGCCCAATAGGAGCAGATTTTGCTGTAAAAGTCATCACATCAAAAAGTTGTGTAGCTTTTGGCTCCTCTTATGGCCACTAAGTCTCACGATACAATATCTTCTCGTGTGAACCTCACGGTATGATATTTATTCTGATATCATGAAAAGGCTCACGATATGGTGGGGAGGCTCACGATTAGGGATGTAACAATATCCAAATCTCTCGGTATATATTATTATTTCACGATACACATCTCATGGTACAATATTTATGGAGTTCCTCATACAAAATGTTCGCTGCAAATTCGGGATGATTTATTAGTCAGTCAAATGTTTCCTTTTTGGTTCTTCCTGTGGATCAATCCTGCCCATCACCTTCACCTTTCACTATTTTTCAATTCCGTTGGGAAGAGAAACAGTTTGATCGGAGATTTGCAGTCACTCACATCTGATTCACGTTTGCAGTTATGGAATTCGCAAACGTCCGAAGTCCATTTCTCGAGCCTGTTAGGTTCCAACAACCACACAATTACGATGTCCGAATCCCAAAACTAAAATATGACAATATCAGATCCAGAAACAAAAGCGATACGGTTCAAAACACTTGAAAAGATCGGCTTTGACAATAGACGCATCCCACTGTGAAATCAAACATGACGATTGGATGCTCACGTTTTCGGAGGACACTTCCCAGTATGCATTACGTGACAACCTTAAGTCTGAAATTCGTGATGCATGTATTGTAGTCGTATGTAGCGTTGTGTTTTTTGCGTGTGCGTGTTGTGTGGTCGCTGTTGTCGCTTTAATGTGCGTTAATGATAAATGCTTCCTAAAGTGGTGGAGCTGGTCCATGTGGAGTCGGATCCTCTGGCCGGCTTCAGTCTGTGTAATGTCTGTGTGTGTGTGTGTGTGTGTGTAATGTCTCTGTGTGTGTAATGTCTGTGTAATGTCTGCAGTGAGTTGGAGCAGAGACAGCGGTGACGTGTGCTCTGGGCCTGCTCCTGATCAGCTGCTCCACCGCCGCATACTCCTCGTGTTTTAGGCCTTTTCCCTGAGCCCCACTCCCCCCCCTCCCCACCCAGTGTTCACACGCACACGGACCCGCTCACATACTGTGTGATCGGTCCGCTGAATAGTACTGATACTCTGCAGTGACATCGCGCTGGTGGTGTTTACGTACATCTCTGTGGTGGATTGTTTAGCTGTTACCATGGCAAACGCTGTCAAAAAAGTTTCCATTTTTGGTCCAAAGAAGAAAAAAAAAAGGATTGCAAAATGGATTTCAACAGTTTTTTCTTCTGGAGCCTGTGATCAATATGAGTGAAAATTGAACTGAAAAAAATAGCTGTAAAAAATTGCTGTGTTTTTTTAACAACACAAATCAGCTCACGTGTCGTCGTTTCAGCTAAAGTTCTTCAGTTCTTTCTGGTCAGTTTGTGTTAAAACTCACTGTTGGACAAGTTACTTCAAGACTGTAATATGTTGTTTGTTTATGACTTGTTGCTGTTATTTCAGAGTAATTTGTTACATTTCAAAATTAGTGTATTTAAAATATAAAACATTACACGACTATTGCAGCACTTGAAGAGACTCAACAAAATAACTGTCGCTCATCGTCAAATAACAATCAGCGAGCGAAGATGCTGAACTTTTGCGTCGTATATGGACTGAATCGAGGACTGAACCAGGACTAAATCAGGTCTAAACCAGGTCAAAACTAGGACTAAACCAGGTCAAAACTAGGACTGAACCCAGGACTGAACCCAGGACTGAACCCAGGACTGAACCAGGACTGAACCCAGGACTGAACCCAGGACTAACCTTGGACTAGGACTTGGAGTCTAGGGCCGCCCCTAAGAGACCAAAGCGCGATCGGACATCAGCTGCTTTGTTTAGCCCCGTGGAGCGTGGAGCTTTGCGCCGGTTCTTTTGCCCGTGGTCACCTGAAGGTCTAGGTGCACCTCCTGGTTTACGTGGGTGCACCTCTGGGCCCATCCCGACATTCGGAACCGCAGCGATGGTGTTTCACCGCTGCTGACATTGTGGTGAATTTAGCGAAAAACCCACCACTTCAATCCAGAAAATGTGACTATACTGACTCACATTAGTGCCGAGTGCAGAACAGTTTTCCTTCATTATGAACTCATTTCACAGTTTTTGTATTTTCAACCACCAAATAAACAGGGATGTCCCAGTTTTTTATTCTGAAAATCTGGTCACCCTAAACGAAATATCGTGATATCGTATTGTCAAAAGTCTCACCATAATATTGTGGGCTGTCACAATATATAGAATCACAAGTTTCTTTGCTTAAATGCAGGTTTTATAGTAGCAACAGCTTTAAACATCGGGAACTACATATCCCATGATTCTTTTCAGCACAGACAACATGAAGAAATATGTTTTTTACTTGATTTCTTGGGACTATGATGGAAATAATTCACATCAAAACCTTGTCAGGATATTTTAAAAGCAAAAAAGTGTCCCATCTACAAAATATCGCAATAAATATCGTACCGCGAAATGCATATCGTGATAATATCGTACCGAGAGATTTGGATATCATTACATTCCTAATAATAAGTTTGTTGTTTTTTTTTGCTTGTTCTTTGGCTCATGGGGGCAGTGACTGAAAATGTAAATGAACTCAAACCATATGAACTAATCTAAAACTCCTGGTTTTGTCGTAGAAACATCCGTCCGGAGCATGTGGTGCGCTCCGTGTACAAGGCCACAGGCTGCCCCGACAGCCCCAACAACCAGGTGATCTACCTGGAGCACGTGGTGGTCCGCATCACCATCCTGCACCCGCGCAGAGGAGACCTGTCAATCAACCTCACGTCACCCTCGGGCACCAAGTCGCAGCTGCTGGCCAACAGGTGACGCACGCACACACACACACACACACACACACACACACACTATAGACACTGTTATTTATCTGTGTACATGTGTTTTACTGTACTTCCTGCTCAATATTCAGTGTGTTTCTTGAGCCTGAACTGTGTGTTTGTGTGTGTGTGTGTGTGTTTGTGTGTGCGCAGGCTGTTCGACCACTCCACCGAGGGCTTTAAGAACTGGGAGTTCATGACAACACATTGCTGGGGCGAGAAGGCGGCAGGTGACTGGGTCCTGGAGATCTACGACTCTCCTTTCCAGCTCCGCAGCCAGAAAGTCCCTGGTACGACCCTGTGTCTGTGTGTGACTGTGTCTGTGTGACTGTGTCTGTGTGTGACTCTGTGTCTGTGTGTGTGACTGTGTCTGTGTGTGACTGTGTCTGTGTGTGTCTGTGTGTGTGACTGTGTCTGTGTGTGACTGTGTGTGTGACTGTGTCTGTGTGTGACTGTGTCTGTGTGTGTGACTGTGTGTCTGTGTGTGTGACTGTGTGTGTGACTGTGTCTGTGTGTGTGACTGTGTCTGTGTGTGTGACTGTGTCTGTGTGTGTGACTGTGTGTGTGTGTGACTGTGTCTGTGTGTGTGATGTGACTGTGTCTGTGTGTGTGACTGTGTGTGTGTGTGACTGTGTCTGTGTGTGACTGTGTCTGTGTGTCTGTGTGTGACTGTGTGACTGTGTGTGTGTGACTGTGTGTGACTGTGTCTGTGTGTGACTGTGTCTGTGTGTGTGACTGTGTGTGACTGTGTCTGTGTGTGACTGTGTGTGACTGTGTGTGTGTGACTGTGTCTGTGTGTGTGACTGTGTGTGACTGTGTGACTGTGTGTGTGACTGTGTGTGTGTCTGTGTGTGTGACTGTCTGTGTGTGACTGTGTGTGTGTGTGACTGTGTGACTGTGTGTGTGTGTGACTGTGTCTGTGTGTCTGTGTGTGACTGTGTCTGTGTGTGTGACTGTGTGTCTGTGTGTGTGACTGTGTGTGTGACTGTGTCTGTGTGTGACTGTGTCTGTGTGTGTCTGTCTGTGTGTGTGACTGTGTCTGTGTGTGTGACTGTGTCTGTGTGTGTGACTGTGTCTGTGTGTGTGTGTGTCTGTGTGTGACTGTGTGTGTGTGACTGTGTCTGTGTGTGACTGTGTGTCTGTGTGACTGTGTGTGTGTGACTGTGTGTCTGTGTGTGTGTGTGACTGTGTCTGTGTGTCTGTGTGTGTGTGACTGTGTGTCTGTGTGTGTGTGTCTGTGTCTGTGTGTGTGACTGTGTGTGTCTGTGACTGTGTCGTGTGTGTCTGTGTGTGTGTGTGTGTGACTGTGTCTGTGTGTGTGACTGTGTCTGTGTGTGACTGTGTCTGTGTGTGACTGTGTCTGTGTGTGTGACTGTGTCTGTGTCTGTGACTGTGTGTGTGACTGTGTGTCTGTGTGTCTGTGTCTGTGTGAAGAGCTCCTGTGTGTGAGGAGCTCCTGTCACCTGTTGCTCTGAGTCTCGTGTGCTCAGCTTTGTCATAAACATGAACACAAAAGTCCAGACTCGGTATCTGTGTGTTTCAGGTAAACTTAAAGAGTGGTCTCTGGTTCTGTACGGCACGTCTGTGCACCCGTACACCCGCAGTGACAAACCGCGCTCCGTGGAACAGCCCACAGAGGAGGAGTTCACCGAGGAGTACAACGGTAACAGCTCAGTTTAACCAGTGATTCTGATCAAAACTACAGTCTGACTTCAAACCAGTGAGAGATTCTACAGACGCAAATCTGTGGATCATTCGTTCATTCGTTTTTTCAATATAAAACCAAAAATAAGAAAACAAACAAACAACTGTTTTTTTCATTATTTGTCTCCAAAACCAAAATGAAAAAAAGGATAATGATTCATTTTTTCATTTTTCGATTTTGTGTTTAAATGAAAAATGGAAAAAAAAACAGATAACGGCTGTTTCCTGTTGACATGAATTAAACTGTGATGCTGGACTGAACCAGGACAGAAACAGGACCAAACCAGGTCTCAGTCCTAGTCTCAGTCCCGGTCTCAGTCCCAGTCCTGGTCTGGTCCCGGTCTCAATTCTAAACCACGACTAAACCAGGACTGAACCAGGAATGTTGGGACTGGCCCGGATGTGTGCCCGCGTAGACTGTCGGGTGATCAGAAAACCGGGACTGAAACCGGGATCTGAGACCGGGATCTGAGATCTGGTTTAGTCCTGGTTCAATTCTTGTTTAGACCTGTTGAGTTCTGGTTTAGTCCTGGTTTAGTCCATATGCGGCGCTAAAGTCCGGCATCTCAGTTTAAGTCACGTAAACAGGAAACAGGAAACCGTTGTTATCTGTTTTTTTTCCATTTTTCATTTAAACACAAAATTGAAAAATGAAAAAAAATGAATCGTTCGTTTTTTCATTTTATTATTTTTGGTTTTATTTTGAAAAACAAATGAACGAATGATACACTGACTCACTCAAACATATGTGAGAAAATTCCTTTGACAGACACTGGGCTGTTGATGCTCGACACACCAACACTTTTCTGTGGAGCTTCGAGCTTTGTGCATTTGGGTGATCCGGACCAAAATCCCGGTCTTGGACATGACCTCTTGACCTCTGAGCTCACCTGTAGGGCAGGTGAACACCTGCAGCGTCCTGTGTGGTCCTGACTCTGTGTTTGTGCCCAGGCCCCTGTGACCCCGAGTGTAACGAGAGCGGCTGTGAGGGCCCCGGACCCCACCACTGCATCAACTGTCTGCACTACTTCCTCAAGTTCAAGAACAACACCAGGTGAGACCCGCTGACCTCTGACCTCTGACCTCTCACACAGGACGTGTCTTTGTGTTTCTCTCTGACACTGTCGGACGAGTGACTTTAAAACTGTCATGTGTGTAAAAGTAATTTGTAACATTAAAATATTACTGTGTTTAAAATTTAAAACTTTACACGACTATTACAGCACTTTAATTTACTCTCAACAAAATAACTGTGAAGATGCAGAACTTTTGCGCCGTATATGGACTGAAACCAGGACTCCAAACCAGGACTAAACCAGGACTAAACCAGGTCTAAACCAGGACTCTAAACCAGGACTAAACTGAACCAGGACTAAACCAGGACTAAACCAGGACTGAACCAGGACTAAACCAGGACTAAACCAGGACTAAACCAGGACTGAACCAGGACTTAAACCAGGACTGAACCAGGACTAAACCAGGACTAAACCAGGACTGAACCAGGTCTAAACCAGGTCTAAACCAGGACTAAACAGGACTAAACCAGGACTAAACCAGGACTAAACCAGGACTAAACCAGGACTGAACCAGGACTACTAAACCAGGACTGAACCAGACTGAACAGGACTGAACCAGGTCTGAACCAGGTCTAAACCAGGCTAAACCAGGACTAAACCAGGATTAAACTAGGACTAAACCAGGACTCTAAACCAGGAACCAGGACTAAACCAGGACTAAACCAGGACTAAACCAGGACTAAACCAGGACTAAACCAGGACTAAACCAGGACTAAACCAGGAACCAGGACTAAACCAGGACTGAACCAGAGCACAGACAGGGGCACAGACAGGGGCACAGACAGGGCACAGACAGGGGCAGGGCACAGACAGGGCACAGACAGCACAGGGCACAGACAGGGGACAGACAGGAGCACAGACAGGGCACAGACAGGGGCACAGACAGGGCACAGACAGGGGGACAGCACAGACAGCACAGACAGGGGCACAGACAGGAGCACAGACAGACAGGGGCACAGACAGACAGGGGCACAGACAGGGGCACAGACAGGGGCACAGACAGGGGCACAGACAGGAGCTCGATCATCAGCTCCTGATGTGAACCGCGGGGGACCTTTAATGAGGACAGGGTCACGTCAGGACACACACTTTATCTGAAAAGGCGCGAGGAGACGAGGACACAAAAGGTTTAGAGGAGTTTTTCTGGACGTTTGGCTCCGGGTTGTTGGACTTTCTCGCTCGTGGGTCTGAGGTCAGAGCGTCTGTCGTCCTCGCCGGTCTCTGAGTTTGTCCCGCGTCTGTTTCTCCGGGTCTGACAGCCGTTTCCTGACACGTTGGACTCGTGTTTTGGGAACACCTCTTCCTGAAAACACCACCCCAAAAATTCTGTGGGATTCAGACAATGACTCAATAAATTACGTCACAACGGCGTCGAAACTGTGGAAAAGACCGAGTCAAGTTCGGGCTGCGAAACAAACAAAACACGTCATCTCACACGGGAGAATCTGTGTATCAAAACCAATAATAAGAAAACGAAAAAACAACTGTTTTCTTCATTATTTGTCTCCAAAACCAAAATGAAAAACAGATAATGATTTGGTTTTTTTTTAGTTTTTGATTTTGTGTTTAAATGAAATGGAAAAAACAGATAACGGACGTTTCCCGTTTACGTGACTTAAACTGTGATGAAGGACTGAACCAGGACTGAACCAGGACTGAACCAGGACTGAACCAGGACTAAACCAGGACTAAACCAGGACTGAACCAGGACTGAACCAGGACTGAACCGGGACTGAACCGGGACTGAACCGGGACTGAAACGGGACTGAAACGGGACTAAAACGGGACTGAACCGGGACTGAAACGGGACTAAAACGGGACTAAAACGGGACTGAACCGGGACTGAACCGGGACTAAAACAGGACTAAAACAGGACTAAAACAGGACTAAAACAGGACTAAAACAGGACTAAAACAGGACTGAACCAGGACTACACCAAGTCTGGGACAAGATCGGAACCAGACTGGGACTTAGACTGGGACCAGGATTGAAACTGGGACCGGGACTGAGATCGGGGGACTGAGATCGGGGGACTGAGATCGGGGGACTGAGATCGGGGGACTGAGACCGGGGACTGAGACCGGGGAGACTGAGACCGGAGAGAGGGGACTGAGACCGGGGGACTGAGACCGGGACAGAGACCGAGACCGGGACGGACCGGGACAGACCAGACCGGGACTGAGACCGGGACTGAGACCGGGACTGAGACCGGGAACAGGATCAGGACTGAGACCGGGACTGAAAATGGTTTAGTCATGGCTTAGTCCTGTTTTAGTTCTGGTTCAGTCCTGGTTTAGTCCTGGTTTAGTCCTGGTTTAGTTCTGTTTCAGTCCTGGTTTAGTCCTGGTTTAGTTCTGTTTCAGTCCTGGTTCAGTTCTGTCTCAGTCCTGGTTTAGTCCTGGTTTAGTTATGGTTCAGTCCTGGTTCAGTCCTGGTTTAGTCCTGGTTTAGTCCTGGTTTAGTCCTGGTTTAGTCCTGGTTTAGTTCTGTTTCAGTCCTGGTTTAGTTCTGTTTCAGTCCTGGTTTAGTCCTGGTTTAGTCCTAGTTTAGTCCTGGTTTAGTTCTGTTTCAGTCCTGGTTTAGTCTTGGTTTAGTCCTGGTTTAGTCATGGCTTAGTCCTGTTTGTTTCAGTCCTGGTTTAGTCCTGGTTTAGTCCTGGTTTAGTCCGTTCCATTTTTTCCATTATTCATTTAAACACAAAATCGAAAAATGAAAAACAAATCTTTATCATCAATCAATAATGAAGAAAACAGTTGTTTTTTCATTTTCTTATTTTTGGTTTTATTTTGAAAAACAAATGAACGAATGACACACGGCTTCAGGATCCACATCATAAAACTAGACTCAGTTATTTTAGAGAAACATGAGAGTTTTCTCAGTGTACAGTTTGTGATTTTGTGTTTTAACATGAGAACGTCTGAGTGATCTGATCCGTGTCTGGTGTCTGTGTCCAGGATGTGCGTGTCCGAGTGTCCCAGCGGTTTCTTCCGTGACGAGCGTAAGCGCTGTAAGAAGTGTTCGTCGTCCTGCGAGACGTGCGTGGGCAGCCGCAGCGACCAGTGCAGCACCTGCCGCTCCGGGTTCCACCTCAACGAAGGCTCCAACACCTGCGTCGCCAGCTGCGCCGACGGGTTCTACCTCGACCACGGTACGTACGCCGAGTCCCTGATCTGCTCGTTGGTCAATCCTCTACAGCTCGAAGCGTATCGGAGTATAAAGAAAAAAGTACAATAAATATCAGTGTTGGGCAAAATACTTCAAAACTGTAATGTGTTATTTATTTATGAGTTGTTTCTGTCGTTTCAAAGTTATTTTTTACATTACAATATTACTGTGTTTAAAATATAAAACATTACACCAGGACTAAACTAGGACTGAACCAGGGCTGAACCAGATTTAAACCAGGTCTAAACCAGGACTACACCAAAACTGAACCAGGACTGAACCAGGACTAAAACAGGACAAAAACAGGACTAAACCAGGACTGAACCAGGACTGAACCAGGACTGAACCAGGACTGAACCAGGACTGAACCAGGACTAAAACAGGACAAAAACAGGACTGAACCAGGACTGAACCCAGGACTGAACCCAGGACTGAACCCAGGACTGAACCCAGGACTGAACCAGGACTGAACCAGGACTGAACCAGGACTGAACCCAGGACTGAACCCAGGACTGAACCAGGACTAAAGGAGAGGACTGAACCCAGGTCTAATACCAGGTCTAAACCAGGTCTAAACCAGGACTACACCAAAACTGAACCAGGACTGAACCAGGACTAAAGGAGAGGACTGAACCCAGGACTGAACCCAGGAACTGAACCAGGACTGAACCCAGGACTGAACCCAGGACTGAACCAGGACTGAGGACTGAACCAGGACTGAACCCAGGACTGAACCCAGGACTGAACCCAGGACTGAACCCAGGACTAAAGGAAAGGACTGAACCCAGGACTGAACCAGGACTGAACCAGGACTAAAGGAGAGGACTGAACCCAGGTCTAAACCAGGTCTAACCAGGTCTAATACCAGGTCTAAACTAGGACTAAACTAGGACTAAACTTGGACTAAACTAGGACAAAACCAGAACTGATCCAGGTCTAATACCAGGTCTAGTTTTGTCCTAGTTTAGTCCTAATTTAGACCTGGTATTAGGCCTGGATCAGTTCTGAACTAGGACTAAACTACAAACTAAACCAGAACAAAAGACTAAAACGGGAAACCAGGACTGAACAGGTCTAAACCAGGAAACTGAACTGAACCAGGACTGAAACCAGGAACCACTGAATACCAGGTCTAATACCAGGTCTAAACTAGGATTAAACTAGGACAAAACCAGAACTGAACCAAGGAACTGACTCTAAACCGGACTGAACTAAGACAGGACTGATCTTGGACTAAGACTAGGACTGATCTTGGACTGAGACTAGGACTGATCTTGGACTAAGACTAGGACTGATCTTGGACTAAGACTAGGACTGATCTTGGACTAAGACTAGGACTGATCTTGGACTAAGACTAGGACTGATCTTGGACTAAGACTAGGACTGATCTTGGACTAAGACCGCTCCTGGGAGAACCCCGAACCCGTGGTCAGGCGTCTGAAAAGCTCGATCGGGCCTCGGCTGTTCTTCGTCCCGTGCAGCGTGGAGTTCTGCGCTGATGCTTTCTCTCGTAATTACCCGACGGTTTAGGTGCACCTCCCGATCTACGCAGGTGCACCTCCGGGTCGTCCCGACGCTCTGAACCGTAACGATGATGTTTCACCGCTGCTGATATCGCAGTGATTTTAGCGAATTTGTATGAAAAAAAAAAAAAGAAAAACCCACCACTTCAATCCAGGTTAAAAAGCACTGTGATGCGCGTTACTCACATTTGTACCGACTAAAATATTTACATTTTTCTCCCTGTAGTGCCACATTACTAGTCAGTCTGGCGCCACCTAGTGTCTCCGCTCAATTTCAAATCTCTCCAGCGACTAGATCAGGAATCAAAATACACTAGACGGTTCGCAAAATCCCCAGAAGTGCGAGTTTAGGCACCAGCCAATCAGTGAAGAGACAGATATTCTGTTTTGGCAACTATTCCCAAGGTCGAGGATTTAAAGGCTTAACAAAGAGAATGTTTGGTGAATTTCATCAAGGGGAAAGACGTTATTGTCCTTCTTCCTACGGGATTTGGGAAAAGCTTAATATACCAGTTAGCCCAGTTAGCGGCGCATTACAAACGTCACAACCAAACAGCGGAGATTGGTTAAATAAAAAAAGTACTCGCCTACCATAGAACGAACGAATCCTAATGCTGCGAGGTCAGACGGTCTCCACAAAGTGAAACCGGTTGATGAATCAGGCTGTTACATTACTGCGTTACAGCAAAAAGCGACGCATTACAGTAATTTCGTTACTTTTACTCCCAACACTGATAAATATTGACCTTCAAAAATGATTCTCATTGTAATTCACACAGAGATATTGGAATAACAATATGTGGAGTCAATGGAAAAAAAGAGGACAGGAGCATAAATCACTGTGTCTGTATCACCTTTTTAATATTTTAACCATGTTTCAATAATAATCCCGCTCACAAAGCATCTAATTTTTAATTCTCAGTGTAAAAACAAAGAAATACTGAATTTTAAGGTGAAGATGACCTTAAAATGCAGAATACGCCCAGTTTAATCTCCATGTCCTTGTGTTTTTTCCTGCTCTGTGTGTGACTGGGATTTTCTCTTTCTCCAGATTCAAACATTTGTCGACGATGTCCTGAAAACTGTAAAAAGTGCACAGGCTCCAGCGTCTGCACCGAGTGTAAACCGGGCATGAGGTAAGAGTCACCGCACACACACAACAGGACCTGCACCAGTGTGTCTCATCTGTCTGTGAAATGTGTCTTAGTCCAGTTAAAACATTTTTAAAAAGCATGTGCTGATTTTGAGTTTCCACACGTAGTTTGTTTTCACTCTGAAGAAGGCTAAGGTCAACCCGTCTAATCTGTGTATCATTTGTTCATTTGTTTTTCAAAATAAAACCAAAAAATAAGAAAAGGAAAAAACAACAGTTTTCTTCATTATTTGTCTCCAAAACCAAAATGAAAAAACAGATAATGATTAATTTTTTCAGTTTACGATTTTGTTTTTTCAATTTGCGATACCGGGGCTGAGACCGGGGCTGAGACCGGGGCTGAGACCGGGGCTGAGACCGGGGCTGAGACCGGGGCTGAGACCGGGACCTGGTTTAGTCCTGGTGTAGTCCTGTTTTATTCCTGGGATTGGTCCTCAGTCTGGTCCTGGTCTCATTCCTGGTCTCATTTCTGGTCTGGTCCCGGTCTCAGTCCCGGTCTCAGTCCCGGTCTCAGTCCCGGTCTCAGTCCCGGTCTCAGTCCCGGTCTCAGTCCCGGTCTCAGTCCCGGTCTCAGTCCTGGTCTAGTCGAAAACTGAAAAAACGAATCCTTATCTGTTTTTTCATTTTGGTTTGGAGACAAATAATGAAGAAAATAGGTGTTTTTTCGTTTTCTTATTTTTCGTTTTATTTTGAAAAACGAATGAACGAATGATACACAGATTCTGTCTCTCGTATAAACTCTGGTGTCTGTAGTTTTAGACCTGAGTGAGTTCTATTTTCAGCTCCAGTATGCACTTTAAAATGAACCCGGTGTAATGAACATGGTGTAATAATCTCAACACTTCCTCCTCGTTTAAGAATCCCGTCTTTTATTAACTCACCTCTGTGTGTTCAGTCTCCAGGGAAACCGGTGTCAGATGACGTGTGACGCAGGGACGTATTACAACGGCCACAGACGAACGTGTGAGCCCTGCCACCGAGCGTGTGCCACCTGCGCAGGTACGCTCCCGAACACACACTACACATACACATGCACATACACCGACACACACTCTTGATTTGGCCCTGACACACTGTATAACCACTGTGAACTTTTAAAGAAACATAATCTATTTAATGTTGAAAATTTTACCAATTTTAATCATCTTAAATTAATTTTTAAGTGTCTTGACTCTGATACACCACTGAATTCAGAATTTGCCAGGACCATAAACTGCACACACAGAGCTAAAACAAGAGGTGCTACTCGTGGTAATTGTGTTGTCCCAAAGTACAGGATAAACTCTTGGTCAGTCTCTTTCTCTGCCAAAGGGACCAGACTGTGGAAGTGCTACCAGCCCATTTAAAACTGGAAACCAATCGCAACAAATTTAACTAAAAATAAATTAAAATTGTTGTATGTTTCCAACCAAAAATGCTCTCACTGAAAATGTAATAATGCTGCATCTGGTGTTGTAGTACTGAGACTGATTTTGGTCTTGAGATTGGCCTCAAGATCATTTTTTTACAGTCTTGGTCTCGTCTCGGACTCGACCTCTTTGGGACTCGGTCTCGTCTCGGTCTTGAAGGTGCTTGTTCTCTGTCTTGTCTTGGACTCGAGGTCTGACACTCGTCAAGTCTGATCATCTTTCATTACGGCTGCTGTCGGCAATAAACTTCTTACTGCGACATGTGGCTGAAGTTTGCTTAACAAAAGTGCACAAACGCATCTGTGTTTGTCACGACGTGTGTTTGTTAAATGTGCAGAGGCTGTTTAGACAGGCTGGCGCCACCTAGTGCCTCCATTCAATTTCATTTCTGTCCAGTGTCTCAGGAATCAGAATACACTAGACTGTTCACAAAAACCCTGGAAGTGTGAGTTTGGTCACCAGCCGATCAGTGAAGGGTCTGTGTTGGCGATGATTCCTGAGATCAAGGATTTAAAGCCGGAACAAAGAGAATGTTTGGTGACGTTATTGTCCTTCTTCCTACGGGATTTGGGAAAAGCTTCATATACCAGTTAGTCCCGTTACTGGTGCATTACATACATCACGACCAAATAGCAGAGATCTGTTAAATAAAAAAAGTACTCGACTACTGTCGAGCGAACGAATCCTAATGCTGCGAGTTCAGACGTTTCCACAAAGTGAAAGCGGCTGATGAATCAGGCTGGAGGCTGCTAAATCCCACTGCAAACCCTGTAAGAGAATGTAACTCCAGTTATAAACTTGAAAAAACAGGTTTAAAAATCCTGCCCACTTTATTCACTTCCTTCAGTTTTGTGTAAAGCGCCAGTGGAAGTTCTTTTAAAGAGGTTCTGAAAGTGTGGCTGAGGGTAGAAAAAAAGAGGCACAGAGTGTTTAAGTACAGTACAGTTTTCTTGGCTTATTTTAGGCCTAAATGAATGAACATTAATCCAATAAAATGAAGATGGATTTATATAAAAAATTGATATAAATGTGCCAAAATAACTATAAAATACAAATAAATGAAAATGACAAAGATGGTCTCGATTTGGTCTCGATGGGCCGTGGTCTTGGTTTTGTCTCGGGTTTGACCTTTAAAAGTCTTGTTCTTGTCTTGGTCTCGACCCTCAGTAGTCTTGGTCTTGTCCTGGCATTGGGACCCTGTGGTCTTGGACTGGTCTTGGTCTCGTTTAATGTGGTCTTGACCACAACACAGCTGTATCTATGTGTAACTAATGTGTCCTGTTTGTTTTCAGGCACGGGGATCGAGGCCTGTACAAAGTGCGCAGACGGGTACATTCTGGAGGACTGGAGGTGTGTGTCCACCTGCAGCAGCGGGTACTACCTGTCCGAGACGCAGGACCAGGGACAGGTGCAGCGCTCCTGCAAGAAGTGAGTCCACACCCCACACCTGTCAGTTCATTAGGCTTTGTAGAGAATTAGTTTTTTTCGACATATTCTCCCAACACTCGCACTTGTTTTTGTTTTTTTTACAGATACTGTTCTTCTGTTTTTTGCTTGTGATGTATTTTTCACAAGCTTTAAAGCTAAATACGGTAATCAACTGAACGACTAAAGGTCTACAGACTTATTAGAGACACAGATCACTAGTATCACTAATAATCATCTGCCTGTGAAACCTGGTCGCTATGAAATGTGACTCTTCAAAATAAAACGACACCGCCTCTACACTTCTCGTCTTGTGTTGTGCTGCAGGTGCGACCACAGCTGCTACGAGTGTCTGGGCCCCGGAGAGAGGAACTGCAGCACCTGTGTGAGCGGATACAACCTGGAGGGAGGGGCCTGTGTGGTCAGCACAATCTGCAAAGATGGTGAGTCCAGATGTGCAGCAGAGAGCGGAGACTAGAGCTGCGCTGGGGTCTGCTGCGGGCTTTAACACGGGCACAGGAGGGAAACTTCTGTCAGCAGATTTAAAAAGTCATCTAAAGCCCCGGTGTCCACTGCAGGATTTTGGCCGATTTCTGAGCTGATCGTGGGGTGAATCTTGAGTCGTGGCTAAAAATCGTGGGTTGTAGGTGTCCGGTGTCCCGTCGATTTGAGCTACCTAGTGCTACTACGCATGCGCACGACCCACAAGCGCTTTTACAGTTTAAATATCGTCGATTTGAGCTCCCCAGGCAGAAGTAAAGTAACAAGTAACATTTTAAAAGTGTACTGGTTTTATTTTACGTTTTTACTAGTTAAGCAGCAACATGTCAAACTCAGGCCCGGGGGCTAAATTTGGCCCGCAGTATAACTAAATTTGGCCCGTGAGATCATATCAAATCTGTATCAGATCTGCCCGCTGGCTACAGATCGACTTTAGAGACATTATTTATTTAAAATTTTGTTATTTTATGTGATACTCCTTCTGGATTCAATGTTTGAGCAAAACTATTATTAAACATTTATTTTAATAAGAAAATATTTAACATTACATATCTCGAAAGAAGAGAAAAAATGTAGATGTTGAAATTTTTCAAATACAAATTTAGTTTGGCCCATGACTTGGTCTCACTTTTTAATTTTAGCCTCTGTGAATTTGAGTTTGACACTCCTGAGTTAAGCATATAAACATCGACATGTGCGTGTTAGATTTGCGGGAGAATACCTACATTAATATTTGATTTGATCATATTTAACGCTGTTTAATATAAAGATTTCAGTGTTTCCAGTCATTTCTTTCTCTTATATAGTAGGAGCTTTATTTGATAGAAGATTTAGACCTGTGGAAATGAGCCACATACCTCAACCCAAATTCATATAAATAAGTAAATAATGGTGATTCTACAGTAGGAGCATTATTCAATGGCTAAATTGGCCTGTCGATATGTGCTACCTTTAGTCGGATCCTTATTTGAGCAGAATATGACTGTCACAATGAAATATGCAAATTCATGTAAATTAGTCTTTTTGCATATATATTTATTGCTTTTTAGTTTAAACTAAATAGTCAACAAAATAATAGCAATATAAACAAAACAAAACAAACATTGGCCCATTCATATATTAGACACAGATACATCCATGTCAAAATGTAATAGCTGAAATCTCAAGTCCAGTGTACATCAAAAAACGTTCTTAAAAATATTATTCTTATGATGAAGCGACACGTCAGGTAATCGAGAGAAACAAAACCAAAAACTGTCTTCTGTCATGACTAGTTGACTTTTTCTCAACTACACCAAGGAGTAGAAATAAAGAATTATTAGTCAGAATTTACAGACAGTTTCTAAATTTTACATAATTATGGTGTAAAGTCTGATCACCGTGTGCAAACAGAATCAAACCCACGTCTCTAATCCAAAGAAATATGTTGTAAAACTTTAGGTCAAGGTTCAGGTTTGGCTTTATTGGATCTGTACAACTGTAAACAGAAAAACGTAAGGTCGCTTATTTCAACGGGGTGAATCGACTGTCGATTTAGGCCGCGGGGAGCTCATTTCGACAGAACACCGGGACAAAGATTAAACAAAGAGAAGCTGTGACTGAGATCAAGTTTGACCTCATCTCACTGCTTCTGCGATTAAACTTTGTGACCAACAGTAAACTCAAGAGCTCCTAAATGTACAGCCAAATGTAAATGTAAAAATGATGCAGTGGACACGTGACTTTAGGAATCTGTGCGTCACTCGTTCATTCGTTTTTCAATATAAAATAAAAAATAAGAAAACAAAACAACAATTTTCTTCGTTATTTGTCTCCAAAACCAAAATGAAAAAAAGGATAAGGATTTGTTTTTTGAATTTTCGATTTTGTGTTTAAATGAAGAATGGAAAAAACATTTACGTGACTTCCGTGACTGCGATGTCGGACTTTTGCACCGCATATGGACTGAACCAGGACTGATCCAGGTCCGGGACCAGAGCGGGGACCAGAGCGGGGACCAGAGCGGGGACCAGAGCGGGACCAGAGCGGACCAGAGCGGGACCAGAGTGGACTCCGAGCTTTGACTCCAAGCCTCAGCTTTGAGCTCCAGCCCTGCCGTGGGCTCTGAGCCTCCGGTCTGGTCCCGGCCTCATCTCGGTCTCAGTCCTGGTCTGGTCTCGGTCTGGTCCCAGTCTGGTCCCGGTCTGGTCTCGGTCTGGTCCCGGTCTGGTCCCGGCCTCATCTTGGCCTCAGTCCTGGTGTCAGTCCTAGTCTGGTCTCGGTCTGGTCTCAGTCTCAGTCCCAGTCTGGTCCCAGTCTGGTCCTTGTCTGGTCTCGGTCTCAGTCCCGCTCTGGTCCCGGTCTGGTCTCAGTCTCGGTCGGGTCCCGGTTTCAGTTCTGATCTCGGTCCCGGTCTGGTCCCGGTCTGGTCCCGGTCTGGTCTGGTCCGGTCTCAGTCCTGGTCTGGTCCCCGTCTGGTCCTGGTCTGGTCTCGCCCTGGACCTGGATCAGTCCTGGTTCAGTCCATTTTCTGTTTTTTCCATTCTTCATTAAAACACAAAATCGAAAACTGAAAAAAAACGACTCGTTATCCATTTTTCATTTTTGGTTTTGGAGACAAATAATGAAGAAAACTGTTGCTTTTTTATTTTCTTATTTTTGGTTTTATATTGAAAAACAAATGAACAAATGATAAACGGATTTTTAGGGCTGAATATTTGCAGTCTGGTCTCTGTGGTTTGTTGCCGAATGCTTAAGTGTTGTAAGTTTAACTGTATTAACCGCGGTGTCACTAACGCTCTAACCTCCTGCTGTAGTCGAACTCCCAGCATCAGTGCTCCTTTTGTGCTTTGGCTCAATGTTCATGCGACAAACTAACACTAGAACTTTAACACTAGAACTATAACACTTTAATAGAAACTAAAGCGCTCCACGTGTCTGTCGGGTCAGTAGTGTTTGTCTTTGTCTTTGCTGCTTCTCCTGTGATCTGTGCTTCAGATTTTGCATGTTGCTTTGCCTTTTTCTCTGCTTCTGGTGACTCTTTAATGTTTGTCTTAGAAATCCAACTGAACCTGGTCTGAAATCCGCTCTCAGGTTGTGTCCACGTTTATCCGTTTGAGGTTTAACAATTTAGAAGTTGATTAAAATTTAACTATAAGGCAACTTTTTTGATTCCGCCAACTACTGTGTTATGTTTCCATGGAGGTGTTATTGCTTTCCCTCAAAAGTTTCATCGCAGGGTGTTGTGTTCGGTGTACTGTTCGTTCTTTTGAATTTCAATTAAGAACGAAAAACAATAAAATGGGAAAACAGTTTGATATCTCATTTTAGTCTTTGTTTTAGTGTCAAACAAAAAAACCCAGATTTCGACCTCTTTTTCTAATATGTTATTTAAACATTTTTGCTGGAAGGTCCATCACATGCTTACTTCCAGGGTAATTGGACCGGAATTAAACCTCTGCAAAGACTCATAGTCAGAATTAAATTAATGTAATTTAATCATTTAACTGCAGTTGAATAAATGAAAAAAAAAAAAAGTACAATGGGTCCATGTACGTTCCTCCCCTCACCTGTGGTCATGAGCTCTGGGTAATGACTGAAAGGACGAGCTCACGGATACAAGCGGGAGAAATGAGTTTCCTCCGCAGGGTGTCTGGGCGCTCCCTTAGAGACAGGGTGAGGAGCTCAGTCACACGGGAGGAGCTCGGAGTAGAGCCGCTGCTCCTCCACGTGGAGAGGAGCCAGTTGAGGTGACTCAGGTATCTGTCTCGGGAGGTGTTCATGTCCCACCGGGAGGAGGCCCCAATGAAGACCCAGGACACGCTGGAGGGACTATGTCTCTGGGCTGGCCTGCGAACGCCTCGGGTTCCCCTGGAGGAGCTGGAGGAAGTGTCTGGGGTGAGGGAAGTCTGAGAGTCCCTGCTTAGACTGTTGCCCCCACGACCCGCCCTGGATAAGTGGAAGAAAATGGATGGATGGGTCCATGTACCGTTCGTTCTTTTGAATTTCAAATAAGAACGACAATAAAATGGGAAAACAGTTTCCTATTTAATTTTTCCATTTTATTGTCAAACCAAAAAATAAATAAATGCAGATCTGAATCTCTATTTCCAATATTTAATCCATCCATCCATCCATCCATTTTCTTCCGCTTATCCGGGGTCGGGTCGCGGGGGCAACAGTCTGAGGAGGACCTCCCAGAACTTCCCTCTGCACACACACGTCCTCCAGCTCTTCCAGGGGGATCCTGAGATGTTCCCAGGCCAGCAGAGAGACATAGTCCCTCCAGTGTGTCCTGGGTCTTCCCCGGGGCCTCCTCCCGGTGGGACATGCCCGGAACACCTCCCGAGGGAGACGTCCAGGAGGCATCCGGAACAGATGCCCGAGCCTCAACTGGCTCCTCTCGACGTGGAGGAGCAGCGGCTCTACTCCGAGCTCCTCCCGTGTGACTGAGCTCCTCACTCTGTCTCTAAGGGAGCGCCCAGCCACCCTGCGGAGGAAACTCATTTCGAGCGCTTGTATCCATGATCTCGTCCTTTCGGTCATTAAACACCAGTCAAAAAAACCATCGTGCCTGTTTCATTTATAATATTTTATTCTCTCTGGTTTATTTGCCCTGGAAGTTCTGCTGCTCAGCGCCGCGTGTGAATTTAGTGTCACCTGAACAAAGAGTTTATTGTTGCTGCCTGTTTCTCGTCGTAGAGTTTCAACAATGACTTTTCAACAATGTGTCGCTATAAAAGAAGACGACATGTTTGTCCATAAAATTTCACGATTTTTCAGGTTGAGTCCTTCTCGCAGCAGAACGTCTGGAGCAAGTAAACCAGAGAGAATAAAATATCAGAATTTAAATAGGCTCGATCTGTGTGATTTGAAATAAACTTTAAATTAAATGTTGGAAAAAGAGACTGAGATCTGTTTTTTTGCTTGACACCAAAACAGAATAATGAAATAACAAAATGTTTTCCCCATTTTATTGTTTTTCGTTCATAATTGAAATTCAAAAGAACGAACAGTACATGGACTCGTTATACATATTAATTTTTTCATTGACTCAACTGTAGTTAAATGATTCAATTACATTACTTCTGACCATGAGCCTTTGCAGAGGGTTTAATGCTGGTCCATTCACCACGGAAACAGAAAGTTACACAGTGTATCTTTAAACCAATCGGAGCAGCGGCGCTCATGGTCCAAGCGAGACGAAGCGTAAACACTGGGTTATGTAATCCCACGTCTCCGTCGCAGTATAATTAAACAAACCTGCCGTTGTTGCCGCTTGAGACCTTTACCCTGCGCTGGAACTGCAAAAGACGAGCAGGTGGTGTCTCCGTAGCACGTTACAGGTCGTAGCTGCGGAGAGGCGAGTCAGATCAAGCTGTATGTTTTGTAATTGAATAGTTATACTGTTTATTTTACCAGACACAGCGATAAGAACAGTTTCATTTTGACAGTGTTGACGTGTTTAGTTGCTTTCTTTACTGTGGAATAATCGGAGCAAGTCAATAACATCTCCATGGAAACGGCTAATCCCAAAAGTTTACGCAGTGCAGCTTTAACGTCATTTATGTATCAGGAGGAGCGTGGACCTGAACCGGAGTTTGAACTTTTTATGAAAATTCTACATGAATCTAGGGTCTGTGTACCATTTGTTCTTTTGAATTTCAATTAAAAAAGAAAAACGGTTTGAAATGGTCACGATGATTTGTTTTTTTGATTGGTCAAATGAAACAGAAAACGCACGCCGAGGTTCTTGTAGACGTGCAAATGCAAGGAGCAGTAGAATAAAAGTGAAAAAATGTTTCATTTGTTCATTCGTTTTTCAAAATAAAACCAAAAATAAGAAAATGAAAATACAACTATTTTCTTCCTTATTTGTCTCCAAAACCAAAATGGAAAAACAGATAATGATTCGTTTTTTCAGTTTTGATTTTGTGTTTAAATGAAAAATGGGAAAAAAACGATAAAGCGTTGCCCGTTTACGTGACTTAAAGCTGCTATGCCGGACTGAACCGGGACTGAACCAGGACTGAACCGGGACTGAACCAGGACTGAACCAGGACTGAACCAGGACTGAACCAGGACTGAACCAGGAGTGTTGGGACTAGCCCGCAGTTGCGCCCGCGTAGACTGTCGGGTGATCAGGAACCGGAACCTGGACTGAGACTCGGGACTGAGACTCGGGACTGAGACTCGGGACTGAGACCGGGACTGAGACCGGGACTGAGACCGGGACTGAGACCGGGACTGAGACCAGTTTAGTCCTGGTTTAGTTCTGGTTCAGACCAGACTGGGACAAAACTCGGGACTGAGACTCGGGACTGAGACTCGGGACTGAGACTCGGGACTGAGACCCGGGACTGAGACCCGGGACTGAGACCCGGGACTGAGACCCGGGACTGAGACCCGGGACTGAGACCCGGGACTGAGACTGGGACTGAAATCAGTTTAGTGTTGGTTTAGTGTTGGTTTAGTGTTGGTTTAGTCCTGGTTTAGTCCTGGTTTAGTCCTGGTTTAGTCCTGCTTCAGACTCGGGACTGAGACTCGGGACTGAGACTCGGGACTGAGACTCGGGACTGAGACTCGGGACTGAGACTCGGGACTGAGACTCGGGACTGAGACTCGGGACTGAGACTCGGGACTGAGATGGTTTAGTCCTGGTTTAGTTCTGGTTCAGTTGTTTTTATTCGTTATCCGTTTTTTCCATTATTAATTTAAACAAAAAATCGAAAACTGAAAACACAAATCATCAGTTTTTTCATTTTGGTTTTGGAGACAAATAATGAAGAAAATAGTTGGTTTTTTTTCTTTTTTCTTATGTTTGGTTTTATTTTGAAACACAAATGAACGACCGACACACGGGTTGTTTTCAGTTTCTTGCTTTTGACGTGAGGAATAATAAAACACCTCCCCAGGTTTATTGTTTTCTGTCCTTCATTGAAATTAAAAAAAGAACGAATGGTACAGGGATTTTCTTTTTAAAGGTTTTACACTGAAATGACTTTTGACTGTGACGTCTACATTTTGCTAATTGTGTGTCGTTTGTCTCTTCTTTCTTTCTCTCCTCTTCTCTTCTGAAACGGACCCGCTCCCTCCGCCGGAACCACCACCGCCCCGCCCCCCCTCCCCTCCTTCGACCGACTCTACCTCTGATCGGATCAAACCGCTCCGCCGTGTTGTCCAATCGCGCGGCTCTGATTTCCCCCCCTGTGTGTTTCCTCTTCCTGTATCTCTTCTTCCTGGTCTGTGGAAAGCAAATGAAGAATCTTGGGCGGAGGGCAGTTTCTGTGTGCTCGTAAAAAAGAACAATCTCTGCCAGAGGAAAGTTCTGCAACAACTCTGCTGCAGAACATGTTCTCAAAAGGGCTGAGCTCGGAGCAGGCCGCCATTTCACATAATTTATACAAGAATCTGTGCCTCTAACGGACTGCAACGGAGGCGCGATACAGGACTACAACAAACCTACCTTTTCTGTACAGGGACTCACCGCCAGGGACGAAACATTCAAGTTATGTGACCAAAGCTTCGATGCCAAAACTCTTTCTTCTTTTTGTTGCCGGTGTAGGTAGCTCCAGGAGCCGGGGGGAGCCCTCTGCGTTTTTGGCTCCTCTTTCTGGTCTCTGCAGGAGGATCATTTGGATGGGAGAAGTATAGGCCGATTAATATTGAATAATAAAAGGAAGCGTTATCAATAATGTGAAAAAGTGTGTCTGGACTTGACTTTGGCCGTAGACCTCGCACATAGAGATATTATTATTATTATTATTATTATTATTATTATTATTATATATATGCACATGTTCTCAACCGACTTCACCCGATTCTCCAGCCCAGACGACACTTTCCACGGACGTTTTCCGCTCTTAAAATCCTCGGCGCCAGCTCCACTCGTACGTCCTCGACTCTTTTTGTGCTCGGTAGGGGTGTAACAGTAACCGAAATATCGTTTAAAAGTCTCGCAATAATATCGAGGGCGGTCGCAATATATCGAATCTAGGGATGGGCATTCGATAAAATTTTCTCAAACAATCGATTTACGTTTTTTATATTAAAATTTATCATCATTATTATTACTGTCTGCGCTTCCAATCTGCGTAAATAAACTCAACTTTACGACATATAAACCGTAACCGCTATAGAAACTTTAACTTCTTGGGTTCTTTGGGTTGTAACAATAACTGAAATATCGTGATATCGTCAGAACTCTCATAATAATATCGTGGACCGTCAAAATATATCGAATTGCAAGGTTTTTCACTTATGGTATTAAAACTTAAAAACTTAACTTGGGTATTAAAAAAAGAGGGAACTGCACAGGCCATGATCCGTTACTTACTTTACTACACAATAACTGTCATTAAGCAAGTTTAAATCTTATTTCTTTGGAATATGGCAGTAATGATTCACACTGACGACTGTTCGAGGTATTTAATTAAAGGGATGGGCATGCGATAAAATTTGCTTAATTGATCGTCGAGAGAATTAACGATCGATTAATCATTAACATTTCTATATTAAAACGATCATCATTATTATTACTATCTGCACTACTAATCTGCAGAAATAAATTCAAGCTTTACGACATATAAACCGTAACGACTCTAGAGCTTTTTCCCACTGGACACTGAAACATATGTGCTGCTTTCAGTGTTGGGAAGGTGACTTTAAAAATGTTTTCACCTACAGATTACAGATTACATACCCCAAAATGTAGTTTGTAACGTAATCCATTAAATTACTTAAAGTGAGTAATGTAATCTGAATACTTTGGATTACTTGATATTGTCTTGCTTTTTAAAACGACATGAATGTAACAACCACATCCTGAAAATTCATGTTTGTTCTTTTCAAATTGTCTGTTGAGCCCAAGTCTCGTTTAGACCTGGTTTAGTCCTGGTTTAGTCCTGGTTTAGTCCTGGTTTAGTCCTGGTTTAGACCTGGTTTAGTCCTGGTTTAGTTCTGGTTTAGACCTGGTTTAGTCCTGGTTTAGACCTGGTTTAGTCCTGGTTTAGACCTGGTTTAGTCCTGGTTTAGACCTGGTTTAGACCTGGTTTAGTCCTGGTTTAGGTTTAGACCTGGTTTAGTCCTGGTTTAGTCCTAGTTTAGACCTGGTTTAGTCCTGGTTTAGTCCTGGTTTAGACCTGGTTTAGACCTGGTTTTAGACCTGGTTTAGACCTGGTTTAGTCCTGGTTTAGTTCTGGTTTAGACCTGGTTTAGACCTGGTTTAGTCCTGGTTTAGACCTGGTTTAGTACTGGTTTAGTTCTGGTTTAGACCTGGTTTAGTCCTGGTTTAGTTCTGGTTTAGACCTGGTTTAGACCTGGTTTAGTTCTGGTTTAGACCTGGTTTAGACCTGGTTTAGTTCTGTCTTAACCCAAAATGTGAAAACAGGAACATCCCGCCGTGTAATCCATTTATTCCAACAAAGTAACTGTAATCCAATTACCACTCACTGAAACAGTAACTGTAACTGAATACAGTTACTCATAATTTGTACTCTGATTACTTACCGGTACATGTAATCTGTTACTCCCCGACACTGGCTGCTTTATACACTGTGCACATGGACTCACACTTGTCCCGAACGCAACGGAAAGTGTGGAATTTCTTGTACAAATCATCGTTAAATCCACATTTGTGCTTCGGTTCGTTGCAGACTGACCCACTGTTTGTGTCTCGCTCCTTCTGATGCAGAGAGACACATTCGGTTTGTCGATTAAAATGAACGTAATCGATGAAATTCTTAATGATCATTTATCGATTCATCAACTAATCACGCCCATCCCTAATCAAATCACAAGTTTCTTTGCGTAAATACATGGTTTTATAGCAGCAACGGCTTCTAAACATCGGGAACTACATATCCCATGATTCATTTCAGCGCAGAAAATGAAGAGATGTGTTTTTTACTTGAATTCTTGGGATTATGACGGAAATAATTCACACCAAAATCTTGTCAAGGTGTTTTAAAAGCAAAAAAGTGCCCCGTCTACAATTCTGTTCGCCTCTCCAAAATATCGCAATAAATATCGTACGGTGAGATGTTTATCGTGATAATATGCAAATAAATGACTGTTACTGAACCCTCCCAACAGAATCACAATAAATATTTTAGATTTGAGTGAAAACTGAGCGTTGTTACGTCCTTAAACCTCATAAAATTCCAAAAGCCAAATTCACACATTTTGAGGCTGATTATTTTTGTTATTTAGGCCCAAGAACTCACACTATTACAACATAATATAATATCCAATATGTATTAAACCTTATTGGCCAGTACAGTGTGGTGACGTCATCTGAAACTCAGCAATATCGCAATTTTGGAGAAACAATTATGGGAAATTGACTTCAAAATGAGCAGGACTGGTTTGTTCCATAAAGTTATGTCCAAAATCTCATAATATCTTGGAAGTATTGAATCACTACGTCATTTGCCCAAGTGTATTTTCTCGTCGCAGAGCTGCTGAATAGTGAAAATACTCACTTCCCAACAGAATTCAGTGCCGAAAATGAAGAGATACGTTTTTACTTGAATTCTTGGGATTATGACGGAAATATTTCGCACCAAAATCTTGTCAAGGTGTTTTAAAAGCAAAAAAAAAAAGTGTCCTATCTACAATTATATCAGCCTCTCCAAAATATCGCAGTAAATATCGTACCGTATCGTGATAATATCGTATCGTGAGTTTGGATATCGTTACATGCCCAGTACTCAGGTTTTCTCGTTTAGGAAAAGGCGAGGCAAGTTTATTCGTACAGCGCAATTCAGACAAAAAGTACCGTAATTTGCGGACTATAAGCCACTACTTTTTTGTCACACTTTGAACCCTGCGGCGAATAAAACGACGCAGCGAATAAATATATGGATGGATAAACGGTCTGTGGTTTGGTATCACAGCAGATACGAGCAGCCTGAGTGCAGAAATCGTCGTTGTCTGTGCGGTTTACACGTGGATCTACGGTAGACGTTTACGCGGGACAGAATTTTCAGTCTGCGTATGGGAGGAGGCGCAGTAGGCGGTCCAGTGGCATGGTTAAATCCTGTTTTAGTCCTCGTTTACACCTGTTTTAGTCTTGGTTTAGACCTGGTTTAGTCCTGGTTTAGACCAGAAAATGAAAAAAACAACTGTTTCTTCATTATTTGTCTCCAAAACCAAAATGAAAAAACAGATAACGATTCGTTTTTTCAGTTTTCAATTTTGTGTTTAAATCAAGAAAGGAAAAAATGGATAACGGCCGTTTCCCGTTTACGTGACTTCTGTGACTGTGATGCTGGACTTTTGCACCGCATACGGACTGAACCAGGACTGATCCAGGTCCAGGACCAGACCGGGACCAGAGCAGGACTGAGACCGGGACCAGGATGGACTCCGCGCTTTGACTCCGAGTCTCCGCGGGGTAGGAGCCTCAGCTTCGAACTCCGGCCCTGCCGTGGGCTCTGAGCCTTTGGTCTGGTCCCGGCCTGGTCTCAGTCTCGGTCTGGCCCCGGTCTGGCCCCGGTCTGGTCTCGACCTGGTCCCGGTCTGGTCTCGGTCTGGTCTCAGTCCCACTCTGGTCCCGCTCTCAGTCCCGGTCTGGTCCCGGACCTGGATCAGTCCTGGTTCGGTCCGTCATCACAGTCACTGAAGTCACGTAAACGGGAAACGGCCGTTATCCATTTTTTCCATTCTTCATTTAAACACAAAATCAAAAACTGAAAAAACGACTCGTCCGTTTTTTCATTTTAGTTTTGGAGACAAATAATGAAGAAAACTGTTGTTTTTTCATTTTCTTATTTTTGGTTTATATTGAAAAACAAATGAACGAATGACACACAGATTTAAAATCATGTCTTTACTTGTATTTTTGGAGTTAAAATATCAGAGAAATGTGAAACTACCCACAAAAGTGCAGTAATGTCACTTTATACCCTTATTTGGAAGCTTACGATACATGTTTTGATACGTTTTTCAGTTTTAATCAGCCTTTTGCGGCGTATTTTTACTGCAAACAACATTCTCGGCTTATCTTCAAAACAACATTGACTATTACATAAACATTTCCGTGATCTGCCCTCGTCGTGTGTCTCGTGTGTGTGTGGAGCCGCTTGGAGCCGACTCGTCTTTACCCTTTGCCTCGTTCAATAACTGTACACACGGTTATTTGCGCGGACCCTCGACCCTCGCCAGCGTTCGCCGTCGCCAACAACGCGGTACAGTAGGAGGCGGGTACGTGCGAGCAGAGCTGGGTACGTGGAAAGAAAAAAAAAAGAGAAACGTCCTAAATGATTCCAAGTGGTGCTCAGAGTCAAGTCGACCACTATTCCAAACTCTGCGGTGGGCGGTGATCGGCTGCTTTTACCGGGGATGCACTTGTACGACCTTCGATCTTATCACGACGTCTATGACCAAACAAAAAATCGGTTTTACGGAGCTGAACAACACCCACAAAGCTCATTTCCCATTCATTTTCCCCACAGACTTCCATTAAAAGTCAATATTAAAAGTCTGAAACCTCCTTCGGGACTAATCAGGTACTAAAAATATGAAATTAAAACCTGAAAGTTGACAAAATAGACACACTTTTTCCCTCTTTTTTTCAATGTTTTTCTTGCCACATACCAGGTTAACCTACGTCATGTCTTTAAATTCTTGATTAGTGGTGTTTTGGTTCTCCAATGTGATGAAGTCATGCTCCCAGATGAGGTCAGGAGTCAGGTTTTCCTGTTTTTTTCCCCATTTCATAACACTGTCCTTTGCGATTAAATCTCCACAAAGGCAAATTCACACGTTATTTTTATTATGTAGACCCAAGAACTCACCGTGTTACAACGCAAATCTGCATTTTAACTTTACTATATCCGTTTTAGTTTGCGTCTTATTGGCCAAGACGGTGTAGTGACGTCATCTGAAACTCGGCAATATCGGAATTTTGGGCAAAATTATGGGAAATTTTCTTCAAATTGGACAGAACTAGTTTGTTTCATAAGGTTATGTCAGAAATCTTGTAATATCTTGGAACTATTGAATCATTATCTCATTTGTCCAAGTGTATTTTCTATTTTCTAAGCACAGGGAAGTTGAGAACTACAAAGACCATGATCCTTTGCTTCTTTACAGTCCAAGAACAGAAACAAATTACTCTCACTGAACACTAAAATGATTCAACTTGAAAAAAAGCATAATTTCTGTCATCAAATATTTTAGATTTCACCCCAGCAATATCAGAATTTTGGAAAAAATTTATGGGAAATTTACTTCAAAGTGTCTCACTTTGCCCGAGTGTGTTTTGTCGTAGCAGTGCTGCCGCGACAAGAAAATATTCACTTCCCAACAAAATCACAATAAATATTCTAGATTTCAGTGAAAGTTGAGCGTTGTTGCATCCGTAAACCTCATAAATATTATTTTATAAGATTATTTTTATTACTTAGACTAGGGATGGGCATTCGATGAAATTTTCTTAATGGATCGATTATCGATTAATCATTAACATTTTTATATTAAAATAATCATCATTATTATTACTATCTGCACTACTAATCTGCATAAATAAATTCAACTTTACGACATATAAACCGTAACGACTCTAGAGCCACATCAGCCCGTTTGACATTATAATGTGTTTAATTCAGTTTTGTTCAAATCTCACAGAAACAAAACTTAAAACCACATCACTAATTTGCATAAACTAAGCAAAGATAAAACTCCAGCTCTTGTGTCGCTGATGCGGTCAGTTTCTGTTGGATTAAAGGACATGACTCAGGTGAATACAGGTTAGTGTGACCAGATTTGTGTTTGTCAAAACCAGGACAGCGTACGGGGGGAGGGGGCGGGGACTCGTCATCGACATTGAGCGACTCTCACCTGGGAAAACTTTTTCCCACTGGACACAGAAACATATGTGCTGCTTTATACACTGTGCACATGGACTCACACTTGTCCCAACGCAACGGAAAGTGTGGAATTTCTTGTACAAATCATC